AGAGAGGTGTTACAATTATGTGTGATGGATGGTCTGGGCCTACAAGAAAGCACATTGTTAATTTTCTTGTGTATAGCAATCGTGGAACAATTTTTCAAAAGTCTGTGGATGTAACTGATGTACCTAGTAGGACAGCTGATTATTACTTGGGCCTCATGGGCAAGGTAGTGGATGAAATTGGAGAAGAATATGTTGTGCAAATCGTAACTGATAACGAAGCTGCGATAAAGGTTGCTGGTTACAAACTCATGCAAAAAAGGGAGAATCTGTATTGGACAGGATGTGCAGCTCATTGTATTGATCTTATGTTAGAGGATATTGGGAAGAAAAAAAGTGTAGCAAAGGTGTTGGATTGTGCAAAAGTAATCACACGATTTATTTACAACTCCAATTGGGTCGTTGATTTCATGAAGAGATTCACAGGAGATAGAGAGTTGTTACGTCCTGTCATCACACGCTTTGCCACCAATTTCATTACTTTGGAAAGCATTGTTAAACATAAGACTGTTTTACAGGATATGTTTCATTCTCAAAAGTGGAAGCACAGCAAATGGTCCAAAAAGGATGATGCAAAAGAAGCGAAAAAAATTATACAAAGTAAAGATTTTTGGACCAAGGCAGCAGATGTATTAAAAGTTCAAGAACCACTTCTAAAGGTGCTTAGACTTGTAGATGGGGATGAAAAGCCCACAATGGGTTTTATATATGAAGCCATGGATAGAGCAAAGTTGGCCATCAAACAAAATTGTCGTTATTATGTAGATTATTGGAAGATTATTGATAATCGATGGGCTTTCCAACTACACACAGACTTGCATGCTGCTGGTAAGTAATTTTTAATTTATTTAAATTATAAATTATGTGTTCCTTGTCTCACTTTTATTATTATTTTATATTCGAACGTAGGTTATTTTTTAAATCCCATATTCCAGTATGGGGAGCACCTTTCTAATCATCGAGAAGTGATGAGTGGAGTTAGAAATGTGATTTCTAGACTTCTACCAGATTTAAACGAGCAAATACAGGCGATAAACCAAGTTAGTCATTATTTAATATTAGTTAAGTTGAGAACTTATTATTTGACTTGTGAATTGTGTTTGTAAAACTGCTTATTGCCTTTTGTTCATTACAGATTTCTTTATTTTCTAATAAAGAAGATTCTTTTGGTGCTGTGTTAGCACAAAGAGCAGTGAAAGCAACAAATCCTAGTAATTATTATATACTCAATGAACTATTAACTATTTTAATTATATATTACTGTTACATTGTCAACACTTCTATATCAAATTATAACATAATCACTAATATTTGATTGATTTGTATATAGCTGAATGGTGGATCCATTATGGTACATCGGCCCCGGCACTCCAAAAAGTGGCTGTGAGAGTATTGAGCCAAACCACGTCTTCTCCTAATTGTGAGCGCAATTGGAGTACATTTAGCCTGATACATACAAAGACAAGGAATCGGTTGAAGCATAAAAAATTAAATAAACTTGTTTATGTGTATTACAATATGAGGCTAAAGATCAGACATGCAACACGAAAAAGCTAAGATGATAGAGAGGAATCTTTTAACCCCATCAATCTTGACTACATATTTGAAGAAGATGATCTATTAACTCCATGGCTTCAAGAGAGAGAACATGCAGTCTTGGATGATGAAGATAACTCAGGTTGGTTGATTGTTTGATTGTTGATGATGATGATGATGATGAGGGAGATCATGCAACTAGTAGCCAAGTACCTCAACACCATCAAAGAGTAAGGTCTACTGGAAGTGGCTCTAGTGAGGGTCGTGGTTTGAGTCCACCTAGTGGTAGTGGAGATGATAGTGATGGCAGTCGTCCTCCAACAGGTGGTGGTGGCGGTGGACAATGGGAGTCTGCAGGTTCTGCACATGGTTGTAGACGCAGTACTCATCATATTGATCATGATTGGAACAGGGATTCTACACAGCAACGACGACATTCTATTTCTACTCCTGATGTAGAAGCATCAATTGGGCGTTCACGACATATTGATGATATTTATGGTCATCGTGACCTTAGAAATCAATTTGGACATCTCGGAGTTAGACAAGAAGATGGAAGGGGAACTCAACATTGGCAACCAATATGCCAAGTACCATATCCTTATTACCCTCCTCCAAGTCAACCACCACCACACATCTATCAACCACCTTATATGGAAAATTGGAACTACTCTCAACAACCTCATCAATATCCATATATAGAGGGTTTCAATTATGGTACAGGGGGGCTTGCAATGACACAACAACAATCAAGTAGCAGTGGCAGCAACAACACTACTTATGATCAATGCACTTTCAATAACTACTACCATGAATATCAATATGGAGAAATAGGCCAACCAAGTTATAGTGATGATCAAAGTGATGTGAGATATGGAGATTCTTCTGTACCACAACGTAATTCTTTTTATTACTAAGTTTTAGAGTTGTTGATTTGTAGTAGATTGTTTGTATGCGATTATGACTGAAACGAATGATTTATTTTCATGTCCCTCTTTCTCTTATTAATTTGTTGTGCATGCACGTGTGAGGGCCTCATTGGAGCATATTCAAGTGTTGCATTAGGAATGGTCAGTGCCAAAAAGCCTTCACTTTTAGAGAAACATTTGGAGATCAAATTAATTGTATGGGATGAAAGGGTTTTTTGCATCATTTCTCTTTATCTTTGACAACATAATGCAAAATCTACAGAAGCAGCAAAGCAGATTCATTTTTCTGATTATATATAACCAATAAATGCATTAACAAATATCAAACATCAATCATAACAGCACAACTAAAGAGCAGACCATAGATATTTAAAAAAAAAGGAAACAAATGCCATAAGCCAGAATTTGCTAAACACCACATAGGTCTAGAATGAACAGAGAGAGCGGGAGAGCAAGCAACTGGCGACTACCCAACGGTAAAGGAGGATGGATCCCTGTGGTGAAGCAACGGCGAAGAGGTGGAGCATGGGGTAAGGAAGTTAGACGCGACCTCCACACAATATTCGTGGACAACCTTCCCTGTTCCATGGATGCTAAATCCCTGTTCAAGCTGTTCTCCAAGTTCGGCATTGTGAGCGATGTTTTCATCCCTTTCAAAAGGAGGAGAGTGTCAAACTCCGGATTTGGTTTTGTGAGATTTGGCTGTCCTGTTGCATCAGACATTGCTATTCAGAAAGCAAATGGCCTCTTGGTGGACGATAAGGTGCTAGCAGTCAATATGGCTTCTTACGATAGGAATAACAGAGTTGTACAAAGCCAGAGGCGGGTTCAGAACAACAGAGGTGCTATCGAAACAACCACAACGAAGGGTCAAACGCCATTTGTTGGCTCTAGAACATTCGCAGAGGTACTAAAAGGCGGAAAACTCAATGGGGAAGCTTGTACGACCATCAAAGCAAACGAAGATGGCCACGGATGGCTATACGACAGTGTTATAATCAGACTAAAAATGGATTACACTGTAAATAGTATCAGAGAGGCCCTCGAGGAGAAGGGGATATCGCAGGTCGTGGTTAGAAAGGGAGGTGGTCGCGATGTAATAGTAACTTTTAATTCCCAAGAGGAGATGCAATCTAACGTCCACAATATGAAAGTGTGGTTTAAAGACTGGAGCCAGTTTGTTTTAGAATGGCAGCCAGGTCTTCAAATCCAGCAGGAGAGATGCGTGTGGTTAAGATGTTTTGGCATACCCTTTAACCTCTGGAATAGAAGCACACTAAACAACATTGGCAGCTTGTGGGGGTCAGTTCTTAGCTTAGAGGGTGATGTTAATCAACCTAAGTCCTTCTCCTCTACCAGGATTAAAGTGGTGACATCCTGCATGGGGTTCATCTCTTCGATAATCAATCTGGAGTGTAAGGGCTCACTTCATCCTATCCTTGTGTATGAGGATCACCTGGTTCACACAGTTGAGTCCCCTACCAGCTCACACACTGAGCATGATGATTGAAACTCCATTGTAGGAGTGGGGCCAATTAATTTTCCACAGAAGTTCGGCGATGAGAAGGCTGATGATGCTGCAATGGCACATGGTGATCGGAGGCTCACACAGTGCAACAGTGGTGAACAGAGCGATACAGTGGTTGAGCAGGACGATACAGTGGTTGAGGAGACTGGCTATGCTCGGAAGCTAGGTGAGAACGTAGCTGGTGTGGTGGCTCCTGGTCCCAATGAGGTTGAGGAGACGTTGAGTGAGAGGAAGCTCTGCAGTGCCAGTGCAGTAGGTGTGAAGGGGGCAATGATGGGGGAGCTATCACCCCTGGCTGACCCACCGAGGAGTGCTGTGGAAGTTTCGCCTCCTCACTCCAACAAAAGCTCTAGTGGGCCGATGGATGACTTTGGGCCCGGTATTTCCCTTGAGGTGGATCTAGCCCATCCACATGGGTTGCAAAGAGTCCAAAGCCTAACTCTTATCAAGTCACATGAATTCCCTGTCACTAAGTCTACTATTTGTCATGCTCCTGTCCCAGGCCCACATGTTATTGCTGGCCCATCTTCTTTGGGCACTTTGGGTCTTAAGGATCAAAGCCTCGTTAGTCCATCTTCATTCACTACTAATCCCCTTCGGAAGGCAAAACATTCTGGGAAGAAGAAGGCTAATGTGGAGGGCTTCTCCCGCTTTGCAAGGCTTTATGGCCAGACAACTGCAACCGCTGTTAAGCACTCGTCCAGGCCTGTCATCCTCAGACCTGCTGCTGCTGCCCTTGCTCAATCAGATCTGTCCAAAGGAAATTCCAGCTCAAGTAGCTTCCTCCTCAAAGAAGCTAAAGCAACCTTCAAGTTGGGAGAGCAGCTTGGAATTAATTTTAAGGGTAAAGAAGTTGCTGTGATGGACAAGATTATTGATCTTGAACTTAATGACAAAGTGAGAATTAATGAAGTGGGCTCGGCAAAGCCGTGATTGCTGTGTTCGGGGGCCTCACAGTGCATCATCTGGTCTTTATGAAGCTTCTCTCCTAGAATGTCAGAGGTATAGGTATGCCTGAAAAGAGGGGTAGAATCAAACGTCTCTTGAGAGATAGGCATATTGATGTTGCTTTTCTTCAAGAAACCAAGAAAGTAATAGATACAGAATTTGCTGCTCGTGGGCTTTGGGGAAGTAGGAAAATGGAGTTTATGTCTGTAGACCCTGTTGGTACTGCAGGTGGGCTTCTCTACATCTGGGATCCGGATGTTTTCCAACTAGTTGGGAGCTGCTGCAACAGGAGGTTTATACTCCTCTCAGGTACGCTTTACAGCTCTTTTGATTGTGTCCTCCTAAATGTATATGCCCCTAATAATGTTAGTAGTCGGTCCACTCTTTGGAATTCAATCTTTAAGCTCAAGGAATCCTTCCCTAGGCCTTGGTGCTTGGCTGGTGATCTTAATGAAATTAGGCACATGGGGGAGAGAGTTGGCTGTGTCAGAAGAGATAGGGGGATGCGCCATCTTAATGAATTTATAGACAAATGCGAATTGAATGATCTGCCCCTCCTTGGTCGGTCCTACACATGGTGTAACTCTCAGGAGGCCCAGAAATGGAGTAGAATTGACAGGATAATGCTCAGCCCAGAATGGTTGGTTCACTTCAAAATGAAACTCTGGGGCCTGCCTAGGTTAATATCAGATCACTGCCCTCTATTGATGATGGAAGATGAAAGAGATTGGGGCCCTAAGCCCTTCAGGTTCATTAATGCTTGGACCCTGCACCCCAATTTCTCTCACTTTTTCACTTCCTGCTGGGAGAATTCCACTGCCTCTGGTTGGGCAGGCTTCATAATCCAGCAAAAATTCAAGCATCTCAAGATGAAGTTAAAGGTTTGGAATACTGAAGTGTTTGGAAATATTACCACTAAGCTCAAGGAAACAGAGGAGGAATTGCATGCCTTTGACAGATTAGCAGAGGAAAGAGTACTGCTCCAATCAGAAATGGATCGAAGAAGAGTAGTGAGATGTGAAGTGTGGAAACTCTACAGGAAGGTGGAGTGGCTATGGCATCAACAATCCCGAATGAATTGGTCCTTGTAGGGGGACAAAAATACTAGGTTCTTTCATGCTGTTGCAAGTACCAGACATAATAGGAACATGATAAATTCTATCTCAATTAATGGTGTGTCTCTCAAGGAGCCAAGCAGAGTTAAACACGAGGTGTTCCTTCATTTTAAGAAACATTTCAAGGAAGGGTGGGCTAAGAGGCCCGTATTGGGAGGGGATTTCAGTTTAATTGAGGACACAATTTCCTATCATCTTGTATCAGCCTTCACTGAAGCAGAGGTATGGGCCGCCATTAAAGAGAGCGATAGCAACAAGGCTCCCGGACCAGATGGGTTTAATTTTCTAGGCTATCAGAAGTTTTGGGGCATAATGAAAAAATAGATTATGCAATTCTTCCAAGATTTTCACAACCACAGCAGACTTACTTACGGCATCAACAGTTCGTTCATTACACTCATCCCCAAGACTCCTAATCCCACTAATATGCCAGATTACAGACCCATTAGCCTGGTGGGTTCTTTATACAAGATTTTAGCAAAGGTTCTCTCGCACAGATTGAAGTCCGTAATGCCCTCCATTATTGGTGATTCCCAAACTGCTTTCATAGGGGGAAGAAATATCCTTGATGGGGTATTCATTGCTAATGAAGTCGTAGATGGTTGGAAGAAGGCTAAGCAACAAGGGTTGATCATCAAGCTAGATTTTGAGAAAGCTTTCGATTCAGTTAACTGGGAGTTCCTGTTCTCTTTGATGTCCAGCTTTGGTTTTGGGCCTAAATGGATCTCTTGGATTAAAACTTGCGTTTCTACATCTAGAGTCTCCATCCTTGTCAATGGTTCACCAACTCATGAGTTCTCTCCGCAAAGAGGACTCCGTCAAGGTGACCTATTGTCACCCTTTCTATTCAATATAGTGGCTGAGGGGCTCAATATTCTCCTAAATAGAGCACTAAACCTTGGTATCCTCCATGGTGTCTCGGTTGGGGTTAATGGGGTTCTTCTATCCCACCTTCAATTTGCTGATGACTCAATTTTCTTCTGCAAGGCTAATTTGGACCAGGTGGTGATTGTCAAAAGACTCCTCCGTTGCTTTGAAGTCCTGTCGGGGCTTAGAATAAATTATCACAAGAGTGTTGTGTGTGGTGTAGGTTTGAATGATGAGTGTCTAAATGAAATTGCCAGTCTCTTGAACTGGCAGGTGCAAAGATTGCCACTGAAATTTTTGGGGCTACCCTTAGGAGCAAACCCGGGTAGAAAATCAACCTGGAAACCTGTGCTCGATAATATTAGATCTAGGCTCTCAGGTTGGAAGAGGAAAATGCTGTCCTTTGCTGGGAGGTTAACCTTGATCAAGTCTGTACTTTCTATTCTCCCGGTGTACTATCTTTTCCTCTTCAAGATGCCCGAAGGAGTGGCCCGTGAAATTGAAAAGATTGAGGCTACTTTCTTGTGGGGTGGTGATGGCCTAAAAAGAAAAGTTCACTTGGTCAAATGGATGGAGGTTACAAAGAGTGTTGCCCAAGGGGGTTTGGGCATCAGAAGGATCAGGGATGTTAATGCATGCTTGCTTTTAAAATGGTGGTGGAAATTTGGAAATCAAATCTCAGTATTATGGAGGCAAGTTATTTGCAGCAAGTATAAAATTGAGGTTTAGTGTTGGCATCCTCCTGTGCAATCCTCCTACAAGCTCTCTAGGGTATGGAAGGACATCATTTGTATAGGTCTCCATAGTTCTCATACGTTCCAATCCTTCCTGGATAACTGCCAAATCAAGGTTGGGAATGGTAGTCGTATCAGATTTTGGCACGACAAGTGGTGTGGATCTACATACCTTAAGGATGAGTTCCCCTCCCTCTTCAACCTGTCTGCTGATAAGAATGGTTCTCTTCAACAAATATAGAAGAATCCTGTATACTTGGGAAGAGACCAGTGAAGCTAGGTTGATTACAATGTTATCTTCTGCCCCCTCCTTGTGCCTCAACAATGCTGACAGCCTGGTTTGGTCTGCACTAGGTTCTTCTGTTTTCTCTGTGTCTTCCCTATATTCTCTCTGTACTTCTCTCCTTGGGCCTCCCCTCATAATTAGCAAATTCATCTGGAGCAATACCTTACCTCCCAAAGTTAGTTTTTTTGGTTGGTTAGCTTGGAAAAACAGAGTTAAAACAACGGTGTTTCTGCTCGATATAGGTATCTTAAGCAGCATTGTTTCTCCTTTTTGTTCTCTCTGCAAAGTGGCCCCTGAATCTAATTCTCACGTGTTACTTCACTGTCATTTCTCTTGGGTCATTTGGTCATCTGTGTTATTTGAGTGGGGGCTCTGTTGGTGTATCCCTCAGTCCGTAGATGCTCTGTTTAACTGGTGGATGGGGATTAAGCTCAAACACCCTCTTAGGAAATTCTGGGGAGCAATCCCACTAGTTGTATTGTGGTCCCTCTGGAGGCTAAGGAATGAGTGTGTTTTCAGAGATGCTCATCCTAACTCTGCAGAACTATGGGAACTTATCAAGATCAGATTGGCTCTTTGGCTTAAAGCCTCTATCAAGAACTTTCCCTTTACAGTTGAGGATGTGGCTCTCAATTGGAGACAAACCAGGCTATGCTATTCAGTTTAAAAGAAAGCTTCCACTGTTTTGTTGAAATGTCAGCGCCAGCATACTCTGTCTTCTGTTTCTGCCTGTTTCTGTCAGCGCCAGCATACTCTGTTTTGCTGAAATGTCACTATAGGGCTGCAGTAGTGTTCATGAGAATTCATGGAGTGTTGTTCAAAGGCAATGCAGGTTAATGCAGGTTCCTTCTCTGGTTGGAGTGTAGTTTGCAGAATGACTGATCTATGCTGGTTTCTTTTCTGGTTTGTGATGGCTTGTGTGGGGATTGGTCATGTTTCTCACCTGTGACAGTGTGGATTGGAGCCTCAAGCTCAGATGTTTGCCTTAGGAGTTCGGGGTTGCTTTGGACTGAAATTCCCCTTAGTTGGAGTTCTGTTCCTCTATTTTCCACCAGGTGTTTGCTTATGGATCTTGGGCTGCTTTGGAATGCAATTTCCCTTAGCTGATTTTCTGGTTTTTTGTTCTGTTGGTTTTGCTCGTTGGTTTCTCACCAACTTGGAGGTTGGAGCTTGTTTTAGCTCCAAGCTCCTCTTTATTGATGTAATTCTTGTTTAATTCATCAATAAAGACTTCTTTTGCCGATAAAAAAAAATTAAAAATAAAAATGCCATAAGCCAGTAAAGTCATTGGGAATACATATAGCATATTATCAAAGTTAACTCAGTAACAGGAAATATATGCAGTCAGCCAGTAGAAATTCATTAGGGATAACATACAGCGGATGATCTGAGCTCACTATTTGTAGTATCATCATCCTCCCCAAATCCCTCAGAAATCAACCGCATCAAGTTGTTGCCACTTTAATGTTTACTAAATCCACTGCATGCTTGAAGACTCTATTCATGGTCTGTGGTAAACAAGTCAAAAGAAGCCAATAGTTGAAAGTTCAAAAGACAAAGAAGACATACATAAACTATCTCCAAACGATTGTGACTGGAAAAGGAAACATAGATATAACCTGGATGAAGCAATGGTTGCTTGGTGCAAATTGCTCTGCAAGCTCGACACATCTAGATGCTATTTCTGCTTTGTAATGATCATTGATGTTTGTCATGTAATCAATCATACAATCAACAATAACTTCTAAATTGGAGAATTTCGTCATCTTATACAGCAGTTCAAAAGTTTTCCTCTTTAGAGTATTATCTGGGTCCTGTGTCAGGAAGCATGTCCAACTTTGATTGATGTGACATATGTCCTTCCAATAATGACTTTGCAAATGTGAAATGTCACAAAATTGCATAAATAGTTGTATAAATAGACACATTTTCCGTATACTTCATCCATTACCATAAGACATTTCACAAGAATCAGAGCCAGCAGAGGTATAAAACGTGAGGAAAGCAGCTTATATCCAGCAGGAAAAAAGCAACATACTGATCTGAATAGTCCATAGCTCATGCACAACAGATGAACTTGTAGCAAAACAAGCAGAAACAAAAATAAACCATACAATTGTTAAAATCTATATAATAAGATAGAAGGGTTTTTGAAAATGTGTAAAATGTATAAGAGATACATTTGGTTTGAAAGGCTAAGATGAATCTTACATTTATATTAACGGTTCAGATCAATTATAGTCCCGCCCAAACATTTCTCCTGAGCTTTCCACCAACCCACCTCTCCCCACCTTCCCTCTCTGCTCTCACGTCTCGCCATTCCCTTTTTATCTCTCTCTTCCTTTCGAAATCGGACCCTTGGCTAAAGAATGTTTGAGTTCATCTGTGGTGTGTGAAACAACGAGCACTCCTCTCTTGCTCAAAGCCTTAACCGCATGATCAAGAGGCGATTGAGATTGAGCTGGAGATGGATCGACTCCTCTAGATTTTATCAAAAGCGTTTGATCAGGAAACATGCACTTGGACACAAAGTTAGGGTCCAGTACGCAGTCGACGCCGTGGATGGTGAGATCGGCTGGCGGAGATCGCGGGATCGCCGTGGATGGTGAGGCGATTGTTTTCTTGGATCCAGAGATGGAGAGATCGCCATTGAAGCCCTTGGAGACGAATAGGTAGCGATTGATAGAAGAGATCATTCATGGGTTTTTTCTGTTATCATTAATTGTTTTGTTTTTGGTTTTTTTGTTGATGAATTTTCAATGTGTGTTGCAATTTTAGGCAAAAATAGAAGAATTGAAGCTGAAATTTAGAAGACCCAATTCAATTCAATTGATTTATTTTTCTTTCTACAATCTTTGTTGGAGCTGAGTACGAGAAGATTTGGCAATATCAGGTATTTATCAGGTTACGGCTTCATGAGTTTTGCCTATTATCATTAATTGTTTTGTTTTTGGTTCTTTTGTTGATGAATTTTCAGTGTGTTGAAATTTTAGAATTGTAATGGATGATTTTCAAGAGTATTAGGTGTTCATTACAATTTTTACTTAATCTATTCAGCTACTCTTGGGATACTTTTGGGATGATTGGGATGATTAGGTGTTCATGATTAGGTGTTCATGATACTTAATAGAATTGTAATACTCTTGGGATTTCAAGAGTATTAGGTGTTCATGATTTTCAACATTATTTTCAACATTACAATTTTAAAAATACTCTTGGGAATTATACAATTGAGTGGTCTAACGTTTTTTATATATACAATTGAGATTAAAATGCAATCCTGGCGTATGCTCCAGCTTCATTATACTTCAACACTACAAAATTAGAGGTTAAATTTCTCTGATGTGGAAGAGAAAAATGAAGAACATGATAACAAGAAAAGGGGCAGTTCTAAAATACCAAAGCCTCCTGTCAAATACCAAAGTGCAATGGTATAACACAACCAAATAAAACTCAATGACATGTGACAATAGACAATAGATAGGAAAACTTCCACAAAAGGCTTAGAAACCCAGAACACAGTGTTATTGCAAACTTAACCTTGATGAAGTACGAATACAATTAAGTACAAGACATCGTATCCAAAATTTTACGAGCATGAATACTAAATAAAAGCATTCAATACTAGATATTATTTTCTTTTCTTCAGCCATGCTATTTTGTGCATTTCCATCTAATAATCAAATCTGAAAGTAAGCAGGCAGATAAAATGAAGCAAACACTGTCACAGCACATGATAGAAGCACTTCCATGGCATATAAAAAAGGTTTATAGGGTTCGGGTCCTATTCTTAGAGCCACCAATCAAGAGTAAGAAAATGAAAGAACAACATATATGGGACAAAATTAATGGTTAATTCTTCAAAATGTAATGAGGACATTTATTAGATGAACTACATGACAGAAATTCATGAAGCTTAGATGCATAACGCTACCACTACAGATCAATTTTATGAGAACTTACATCGCCTACGCATTATGATACTTCTGCTATTTCTGCTCTGCCCCCAGAGAACTCCAGGGACCCCACAGAAGTTAACAATTCCTGCAATTCAAGTCCAATGTTAGAAGAAAAAAAAGTTAGACCACTCAATTGTATAATTTTCAGGTTTGTATTTGTGAATGTGCGATTTCTGGGTTTTTGACTGTTTATTCAATGTTTTGAGAGATGTGAGGTTTGTGAGATTTTGTTGGTTTATTATTGAGTCTTTGTTTTTTGGGTTTGAAACTAATCATTGTGAATCTGTGATGTGTTGTGAAGACATACATGTTCAAGTACGACAGTGTTCATGGACAATGGAAGCATCGCGATGTCAAGGTCAAGGACTCAAAAACACCTTCTTTTTGGCGAGAAACAAGTCGCTGGTTTCGGAGTCAGGTAATTATGCCCTTTATTCTCTCAATTTCGTTGCAATTTTTTTTTGAATCAGAGTATATTTAAATGAAAAGTTTTAATTTTTTTGGGTGTATTTTTAGGAACCCTGATGAAATCCCATGGGGCGAAACCAGAGCCGATTTCGTTGTGGAGTCTACTGGAGGTTTCACTGATAAGGAAAAGGCTGCTGCCCACTTGAAGGTTTGGTTTAATTTCCTATTTATTTTTTTGTTTTTTTAAATATTTTTTTGTTCTGATGGAAATGTTTTTTGATATATATAATTGGGTTGATTTAGTTGTCTGCATCTTTGATCTGTGATCAAAGTTTGAATCGAATATAACACTATTGTCTCTATCATTGTTGTTGATTTTTATGCATCGGTTAGATTTTATAAATGTGTTGATTTGGTTGTCTGCATTCAAAGATCAGTGATCAAAGTTTGAATTGAATATAACACTATTCTCTATCATTGTTATCGGGTTGATTTAGTTGTCTGCGTACAATGATCATTGAAGTTTGAGTTGAATGTAACACTATCTCTATCATTGTTGTTGATTTTTGTACATCTTGCTTAGTCGGGTTGAAGTTTGAGTTTGCTTTGAAATCCTTGACTTGGGTTCATTTCTGTTTATCATCATTTCTAGTTTCATCTTTGGGATTCTTTATAAATCTGCTGATCAACATTTGAGTCTTAGATCACAGTTTTTGAGTCTTTCTCATTACTCAAATTTTAAAATCACTAAATGATTCGCCTAATGATCATTGTTTGAGTTATTTTTGAAAACAGGTTCATGAACCAAACATGCTGTCAAGAACCAAACAGTTATTTTTAAAATCACTAAATGATTCCCAAATGATCCTCCTCACAGGTTCAAGAACCAAACATGCTGTCAAAAATTGCTTCAGTTGACCGGAATAGCCTTTCGAGTTCCAACTGCGAGTTCCAACTGTGGATGTTTCAGTTGTGGACCTCACTGCAAGGCTTGAGAAGGCAGCTACATACCAGCAAATCAAAGATGCTATCAAGTGAGTATTAAGCCCTTCCAATTGCTTAAAACGATCCACTTGGGGCAGCACTTGTGACTGGTGGTTCACGTCGAGCAAATCTGGAGGTGGCTGAATAGCAGTTTCAAAAGATGAAGTCACCCCCTTAGCCGTTTGGGATATGTCTCCTTTTGAAATCTAATGACCAGTAGAGGATGGTCTCTCCTCGGGTTTTGATGGACCCCCAAACAATGAAGCAGCAAGCTTCTGTTTTTCCAAATAAATCTGAACTTGGGACCTTCTTGAACCATACGATGTATCACATGGTTTGGAGTTTAGATTGCCTGTTCCATCAGGTTGTGTCACCCCATTCATGGGTCTCTGCAAACTGGAGCTTGGGGTAGACGGTGCGGGAGAGGGGTAAGTTGGCCTACCCCACTTCCTTTGAACCCCATCAAGTCTTAGCTTGAGTTCTGATGGACCCGTATCAGATACAGATGGCACTGCTGTAGTTTGGTGCATCTCCCTTGGATAAGAAGGCTCGGGTATCGGAACAAGTTCAGTTGAGGATGCTAGTGAAACTGGAGGAGCCCTTGATGGCATTGGCACCGTTGGTTTTGGAAGCTCATAGGCCTCGAACCTAAGAGAACGTGTTGAAGCTTCATGGTGATCTTGTTTTCTGAAGCTGCTGATATTTAAAATTCCGGAACGTTCATCCTTGGGAATATAGGACTGAGCCCCGTTTTCCAATGACTGTTGGACATAACTGTTGAGGAATGAAAGACTTATGACAGAAAATGAAAACATTCGAGTATTCATATGTATATATAATCATAAATATTAAAATTATGGCCATTTTTAGAATTTTTCATTGTCTTCACTTTTCAAAAAAACTAAAAACAGAAACACAACTAAACGGCTAGGAAAATTATTTGTTCTATGTCACATATTGGGATCATATACTATCCTAGAAAAATATATAGCAAAGAAGAAAATACATACCTTTTTTTCCAGATCTCATGTCGATTTTATCCTTAAATAGTGTTGGGAATAAATTTAAATTTAAATAGTGTTGGGAATAAATTTAAGTAGTGTTGGGATTAAAAAATAAATTTAAATAGAGTTGGGATTAAATTTAAATTTAAACAGTGTTGGGGTTAAATTTAAATTTAAACAGTGTTAAAATTAAATTTAAATTTAATCCGTGTTGGGATTAAATTTATAATAAATTTAAATAGTATTGGGATTAAATAGTGTTGGGATTAAATTTAAATGTAAATAGTGTTGGGATTAAATTTAAATAGTGTTGGGAATAAATTTAAATTTAAATAGTGTTGGGATTACTTGAAGAACCGACCTGATCAGCAGAATACGATGGAGGTGGTTTCGACCACTCGGCTGTGGTTGAGATTAATGAATTTAATTCTTATCTCGGATAGATATTGAATTTAATATATAAAAAACCATATAATCGACTCAATCAACTTATTCATATGCGTACAACTTGAAACATGTGTGTTTATTTTCTAAATTAATAACTTGAATTCAGCTTTAAACAATTGTCGCTAAAGGGCTTTAAACAATTGTCGTAGAGTATAGTCTGTTAAATATATTTTTATAACTGTATTTTAATCTTAATATTATTTACACCGTGCCTTTAGGCACGGGCATACGCTAGTAATCAAATAAACCAGAGTGTAGAGATATAGACATCTTAGTGTCAACAAAAACAATGGGGAAAAACAAAGAACATGGACCTGTCTACAGCTCCAATGGCTCCATCAATTCAAATCGAATTAATGTCAAATGCATTTGCAAAAATAATGTTTCTCACCTCTAAGCAATCAATCGCGATTTCTGGACTTGTCTTTATCAACCGACCAAGGGCATCAATGCCCATGTATTTTAGATTATGACTGCCACTCTGCCCAACAGATATGAATGTGTGAACAAGAGATAACAACAAACAAAAACCCAACAACATGCCTAACTGCAGAAGGCAAACCTTCAAAAATTTAGAAATTGCGTCAGCCGCAGCATCTAATAACTTAGGATTGGGATGTATGGAGGAAACACAGCAGATGCACTCATAAAGAACAGCATTTCCTATGTTACTTGATGAGTTACACTTTCTCATTATGGCCCTGTTTGGTAGGACTTATTTCCAGCTTATTTCAGCTTTTAGCTTAATTTAAGCTATTTTGATGTGTTTGATTCAACTTAACAATACAACTTATAGCTTTTTGTAAGTCAAAAATCAATTTATTCTTTGAGTGGGGGAGGAGAAGCTTAATTTACAAGTCAAAAATCAGCTTATGTTCATAGCTATAAGCTATAAGCAATTAGGCTATAAGTTGTGATCACTTTCTCACAGTTCTACCAAACGAGGCCCATGTCACCCACAACAGTATACGTGTGTTCACAATTGAAAAGCTCAGCCCACACTTTTACTTAAAATCCAAGTATTAAGGAGAGGGAAACTAGAGCCTTATAACTAACATAGATGGGGCAACTCCAAGCGATGTGGGACACATTCCAACACACCCTCCTGAACCACAACATACAGTAACTGGACAAACAGCACACCAATCACAAACCCAACCAAGCTCTGATACTAAGTTGAAAAGCCCAGCCCACACTTCTCCTTAAAACCCAGGTATTAAAGAGAAGGAAACTAAAGCCTTACAATTAGCATAGATAGGACAACTCCAGATGGGACAACTCCAGGCGATGTGGGACACATTCCAACACACCCTTCTGGACCACGACATACGGTAGCCAGACAAACGGCACACCAATCACAGGCCCAACCAAGCTCTGATACCAAGTTGAAAAGTCCAGCCCACACTTCACCTTAAAACCCAGGTATTAAGGAGAAGGAAACTAGAGCCTTATAACTAGCACAGATAGGGCAACTCCAGGCAATGTGAGACACATTCCAACACATCCTCCTGGACCATAATACACACTAGCTGGACAAATAGCCCACCAGTCACAGGCCCAACCAAGCTCTGATACCAAGTTGAAAAGCCCAGCCCACACTTCTCCTTAAAACTCAGGTCTTAAGGAGAGGGAAATTAGAGCCTTATAATTAGCACGGATGGGGCAACTCCAGGCGATGTGGGACACATTCCAACATTCACTAGCTTTCTTGTCACCACTACCCAGTAATGCCAAAATTTTCCGCAACTTGATCTGCACAACAAAAGGAGTGATTACTATATAAAACACATCACAATTCCAAAAAAAATGTGAGCAAATCAACACATTAGTAATGCTAATATCCATGTTGAAAAAATGAAGTTTGCAAGTTCTGCATGAAGAAGTAAACCGACCCTCTGTCTCCTTTGGTGCACATGGAGAAACAAAATGGCCACAATTCCAAAACCCAAGGGGTTGGCCTAGTGGCAAGGCCTTGTGTCTTGGGGAGGTGCTCCTTCCAAGATTCAGGAATCAAAACTTCTTAGGTGCTAACAATTTCTTGAGGCCATAAAACTGGGGGAAACTCTTGAATTCACCGTGGTGCACTTAAGGGAAACTCCTTGCCGAGGCCTGTGCACCCCTGGGGATTAGTCGGATTTAATCCAGACACCCCGATGCCAATCAAAAAAAAAAAAAAAAGGCCGCAATTCCAAATTAGCTTGATGGGAATGCTTATACTAAGAGTTCTTGAAATTTTGGTTCACATGGATCACAGTGAAATTTAACTACTTCATTCAGCTTTTTCAAATTGTAACGATGCTTAATTGCCAAGGCGGTTGTCATTTTGCATACAACTTGTACTTGGATTGGGCTCCCTTAGCACCTTTTTGGTGAATTTACTTGTCTAGATAATTTTTTGCTCCAAGGTGGAGACCCTCACCTTGGCAAAACATTTTTAAATTCTTCACATAAGAAAACAAGCATAAAGGATCTTTAAATGCTAGGCTTAGCAAATTGGCAACTTCACAACTTGTATGTATACCCCTAGGTAGGAACCTAAATCATGGGCAAGGTGGAGAAGTACAAGAAGAAGCACATTGGCAGCCTAGAAGCCTTGGAGAGCCTTCAAGATTCATGGGAGAAGTGCAAGAAGAAGCATAATTGATATGAAGATTGTTTTCGACAAAGCAAGGGACCAAGAAGACCAAGAAAAGGACTTAACAACCCAAGTCAAGTCAACTTGGTTAACCAAAATAGGAGGTTGGTCACTTGGTCGACCAAACCATTAAAGATGGTCGACTTACGCAAGTCTTGAGAGCTAGAACTACAACAACCAGTACGATTGGTTAACCACCTCAGACATGGTCAACCAATGAAGGTGCCATACCAAGTCCAGGAGGCTTGATCGACCAACCACATAAGATGGTCAACCACAACTTAGTCGACCAATTTTGATCAAAATTCAAAAAACTAGCATAGCCATTGGAGGCTTGCCTATTTATGTCCCCATTGTGATTTTCTGATGAGAAAAGGCTAAAGGAGTGTCTTCTATTGCTTGTACCTGTGAGAATATGCCTATATTCAGTGTTCTCCCTTCCCCTTTTAGGATTAGGACTAGTGTTCTATATCAGCAATGTATTCGTTTAGGATTAGGAATTAGTGTTTTATATAAGTGATGCATTCTTTGTTCAATTAATTCAATCTAATATACAGTTTCATTCAGAAAACTTACAGTACCATCTTACAATCACATTTTGGTGTGCTCACTTCTTGTGAGTGAGAGCTTGCTCTCAATTCTTTAATACAAGCCTGGGAAAGATTTACTCTTTGGAGTCTTTGGAGTTGCCTTGTGGAAGATATATCTTCACATCGTAGTGTAGTTTTATATACTATATCCATCACACACCACACTACTCCCATTTAGAGACTTTTGGGCATAAGGATTTTGCAGCACTTCTTTCAAGTCCATTTGTAGGTTTGAAAAATCTAGTGAAGTGTTTAGGTTTATGGATTGGAGTTGAGGTTTTGGATGTGCTTATTGGTAACTCAATTCACTTGTTTGTGTTTGTATGAGGAAGAGGTTGTGGGGGTCAGAGTTTTAAAAGGCTTTCCTGAGGCTCGCCTCAATGCTCGCCTCACCTTGAGACTAAGGTAAAACGCATCAAGGCTTTAATTTTTAGGCATTACTTCCCAAAGGCTTGCACATCATAGTTTGAGACGTGCGTTTTAAGTGCGCTTTGTATTTTTTTTGTGCATAAGCATGTAAGCACATGCAGAGGTTGCCTTGGGCATTTGTTAAACTTAGTCTATTAGATTGTTTAAATATAAAAAAATAAAAAGAATCCATTTTAGCAACTATATTCTACAGGAAAAATTAAGTAAATGATCAATAATAAACTAAAAAAAACATAGTTAATGGTCAAGTGAGAAGCTTAATCGCTAAAGTTAAGAATATTAATTTCATTTTTAATGAAGGAAAACTTCCTTCTATGTAGTAAAATGTTTAACGCCTTCAAGAGAAAAGTATTTACACCTTTATATTTGATTTAATTTTTATTTTTTTACTATTTTAAAATATTTAATTCATTCACTAAATATTAAAATTTGAAATTTGAAATGTTTATGTCTCAACGCCTTAAGGCATACACCTCGCCTCATGAGGGGTGAAATGCCTCGAGACATGCATTCGCCTTTAAAAGTTTGGTGGGGGTAACCTAGAGAAAACTCACAAAAGTGTGTTGAAAAGGTTTCCACTTAACTTGAGAAAACCAGTTTGATTTAGTCGAGAAATTTTGGTGAGGAAGACTTAGGATAAGATGTAGGTACAAAGGCATACCGAACCACTATAAAATTATTTGTGTTCACCTATATTTACATTCCCTTGCTTAAATTCCTATGTATGTTGTATGAATGTTTGTTGAATGAATGATATATCACAAGTTCGAAATGGTATAAACATACTTTGATTGAGCATCATTTCATACACTTACTCTAATATTGGTATAAACATACTTTGATTGAGCATCATTTCATACACTTACTCTAATATTGGTATATAACTTCTTGGGATAGCACCAAAAAATAAATAATTAATTAATTGAGACAATTGTAAATATTTGAGCTAGAATTAAATTACAAGGACAACCAAACTTGAAACCTTAGCTGATATACCTTAAGGATCCAATTAAATATTCTAAGGGTTAGTTGTAAACTCACTTGGGGGTAAGACAAATAGATCCACCTAATAAACATACCTGCGAATAACAGTAAATAAAATTGGGGATTGAGGACCCATGAAACAGACCAAGACTGAATTGGATTGAGGATTATACATTGGATCATTGGAGGGGTTCACAAGATCTGATTGTAGAATCGGATTGCGGATTGTAAGGTCCTATGAAAGAAGAAACAATACAAAATAATTTATATATGGATAAACATTTCTTAAAAGAAAACACAAAATAAACCTAAATTACACTAAAAAATACTGTGAAAAATATAGTACACCATGTAAATATAAGCATTATACAGTAGAAAGTTTGGTAGTAAAAGCTTTCAATTGTATGAAAGGAAAACAAAAAGAGAAGGATAAGAGTTTTGTAACAGACCATTTTGTAATTCGATATAGTACAACATAAAAGAAAAGGCAAAAAATATTAAATAGTTGAAAACTCAATAGAGAGAAACAAATAAAAGAAAATAGCAAGTTTATATATATCCACTACCACCACTCACTTACCTCACACCTCTCCTATATAATAGCTTGTAACATACAAATCAAAAAACAATCAATCTTGTAATACATCAATCAATAATACATCTATTTTATCAGAAACAAAGAGAAATTAGGGAGAGACAGAGAGTTAGCTATTGGACACCAAAAAAAGTAAATTTCAACAAATAAATAGATCTCAAACAATTTGATTAAGAGTAATGATTCATCCCCCCTTTTCCCCCACCCCTTTGACCCCCTCTCTCTCTCATTGGTTACCTTTTCTTTTTCTTTTTCTTTTTTTTCCTGCTCCACCAATCACCCCCTGTCACGTGGCAAATGGGGTGAGGGGGTGACCCCCAAAAGGGAGTCCCAAGCATTATTCTTTGATTAAATGGAGAAAAGAAAAAATAACCGAATAATATACCATAGCATGAGAGAGAGGCAACAAAACATACTTGGAGAGTGAAGTGGGTTAGGGAGATATGAAATACTTGAATTATAGGTAATGGTCATTGAAGGATATCTATCAAGTAAGGAGTGTTAGACGGCATGATACGGTTGTTTCCAATATTCATCACACAAATAACACCATTATCTTTAGTGAAATTAAAAAATAAAAAATCAATTTAAATACATAACGTGTGTTTCTTTGTTATCAAGCGGAATCAAGGCCAACGACAAAGGAAGAGTTTATTCTAGTGGAAACTAGTGCCTAATGACATTTAATTACTTCTAATTAGGGTGGGATTACTAACTTCCACAGTTCACATACTTGGGGATTACCACTAGGATCATCCTTCAAGGAAAAATAAAGTTCTCTTATGGCTCATGGGCTACGTTCACGTGGAGTATGACAAATAAATAAATAAAAAGGGAGAGAAAGAGGGGGGAAAATGCTTACAAAAGTATACGATCTTTAAGAAATCCGATAGTTGGATATCACTCGCAAGGTAAATGCAACAATATGGAAGCATCATTACTTTTGCATCCTTCCAAAACTATTTACTTTTAGGGAACACCTGCCAATGTTTTGCATCTGTCTGTAGATTGTGTTTCTAGCAGTCGTTCACTAAGTGTGGGTTACCAAAAAACAAAATTAAATTAAATTAAAATTTAAATTTAATTTTAATTTTAAAAAATAAAATACAATAGACTCGAAACTAGAAAGCACAGATACGGATACGATACGATAGGGATACGGCGATACAACAAAATCTAAAAAAGTAGGATACGGGTACAGTTTTTTTTTTTTTTTTGATCGGCAAAAGGAAAACTTTATTGATGGAAAAGGAAAATTACATCAATAAAGTGGAGCTTGGAGCTAAAACAAGCTCCAACCTCCAAGTTGGTGAGAAACCAACGAGCAAACACAACAGAGAAAAAAACCAGAAAAATCAGATAGCTTAGGCACTACATCACCAAAATGGCACAGATTTTCTGAGCTATATACCATGAATTCCCACAGCTCAAACAAAGCATACCAAACACCTTGCCTTGAACAGCTGTTAAGATGCTTCAAATATGAACCCAATGCTTCAACCCACTCATCTCTATTGAGATCTGATGGGATAACAGCCAAAAACAAGAGATTCTCCTTGGAGTATATAACAGCAGCAGACCCACTGTGTGTATCAAATATCAGAACCAGCATGCACCTAATTACTCAATTAACTACAGTAGACCCATTGTAACCCATTGTGACTATCAATTAATTTTGAATCTTCCTCCTCTGCACAGTCCAACCCAGAAACATAATTAGGCTGCAAAATTCCAGCAATAGTCAACCTGGGAGCTAAGAAGGCAAACTGTTAGTAACAACCATAAAGTAGCCCAAAAACCAGAACACTGAAACTGATGAGCACCATAACAGAGATAGGCTTCCCAAACAAAACAGCCCGTGAACCATTTGCCTTCCAGATGTATACAAAAACAGCACAATCAAGCAGCCTTCCCACCATAGCAGACCAAAATTCATCCATAGCAGACCAAAATTCAAACACCAATAGATCAACACAGCACATCCCCAGAAGGCACCATAGCAGAACAACAAACTTCCAAAATTGCTAAGCCTAGTTACTCCACACAGCACAACCCTCAGGTGGATTAGCCCCCAGCTGAATCAATTAACTTCAGCAGCTGGCAGAAGAGGATGGGGATACCACCTTTCCTGTCCACAGCAAACCAGTACACAGTCATCTGCTAACCACTACTACAACACCATTGGCTGAGATTGATCAGCAAACCAATTCAGACCACCAATTCAAACCACCTAATATGTGTTAGCCATCAGAAGCAAACCCATCAGCCAACAGCCAACTACAGCAGTGCAATAGCTCCAACTGCACTCCAGCCATACGGCATTCAGAGCATAACAGACTATTCTTCCTCCCACACAGATCAACCAGTAACAGACCATTTCATCACACCAGCAATTGAAACCTCCTCTGCTTTACCCCACCAAAGCTGCAGAAAGTCACAAAGATCCCATTCAATCTGCTGTAGAAACTCCTAAGCCAAGCATCTTCTAATCTGTTGCAAATTATGCACTAGGTCATTGACAGTGAAGTTCAAAGCTGGGACATAGGACTTAATCCACAAAGCAATTCGAACCTCAATAGATTCACACAAAGCTAGAAAATTAGGCTCCACCCCATTGAACACAGAGTCATTCCTCAGTTACGATACGTTTGTAAAAAATAAAAAATAAATAAATTATTAGCAGTGAGTTACACATAAGCTTAAGAATGTTGAGAAACCACAGTAACTTTATGATGCAAAATACTAATCTTTAAGAATTAAGTATTAATTTAAGGCAGTAGCAAGTTTAGTTTTTAAATTTTCAATAGGTCTTGCAAATATTTCATTTCAATATCAAGTTTAATATGTTGATATTATAATATCAGAACAATCCACAACTTGACTCTATGCTTTTTCCTTTTGCACTAGTCAAAAACATTCTATGCAAGTTTATTTACTTATTTATTTATTGATATTAAATTTTACTATTGTTATATTATCTTATTAATCCTTACTTCTATGTAGTTATAGGGGACATGCATGATACAATGAAGATATGGTAATTTGATAAATTCTATTACTTTAGCTTACTATGTTATTTTTATAAAAAAAAAACTAAGCAAAGTATTGTAAAAATATTTTATTTATCCTTGCAATTATATTATATTATGACGTTATACAAGAAATGATACAATTCCAATTTCGTAAAAGGAGTAACATGTGACTTTGAACATTTGATACTTCAAAATTAATTAAGAAATATCCGATAATATGTGACTTAGAGCATCCGATATTTCAAAACTAAGTATCCGATACTTCAAAATTAATGAAAAATTAATTAAGAAGTATCTGATACTTTTAATAAATATCTGATACATATCCGTAAGTATCCAAGGAGTATCGATATCCGATACGAATACGTCTTTTTATTTGAAGTATCCATGCTTCATAGACTCCAAAACACATGACAATACTCTTCAATTATGAATAAAATACAGAAACACTTAAGGATCCTTTGTCCCACAACCCAAGGGAACAACTACCTAAAAAATTGGCTCTTCAACTTGTTAGCTTTATCATTATTGTACAGTTAGCTTTATCATTATTAGTTAGACTAGACTAGCTTTAGCTTTATATTATTCATTGTATAGCTTTTCTTTATCTTTTGCTTTCGGTGGAAATGGTGGTATCCAATGCCCATCTTCTCTCTATAAAGAGAGACTTCATTCTCTTTGAATATACAATCAATATACAAAACATTTCAGAGTCTCTCTCTCGCTCTATAGCTTCTCTCACTCTCTCAAAATAATCTTTCACAACTAATGAATCGAATCCTCGACGCAAGCTGATGTTTCCTCTCTCCCCATATACACCATATCCCACACTTCCCTTTCCTCCTCTTCCCCACCCTTGCCCCTCGAACTAAATAGAGGCTCAACCACTATTCTAGGGAACACCCAATCAGGAACAACTACCTAAAAAATTGGCTCTTCAACTAATGAATCGAATCCTCGACGCAAGCTGATGTTTCCTCTCTCCCCATATACACCATATCCCACACTTCCCTTTCCTCCTCTTCCCCACCCTTGCCCCTCGAACTAAATAGAGGCTCAACCACTATTCTAGGGAACACCCAATCAAGCCCAAACCACGCCTACCACGTATTCTATAATGGACTAGGAGGTGGTCAGGTCTCCCTCACCTCTTTTGCAAATAAAGCACTAGGTGTCAATAATCTTATTCTTCTTGGTCAAGTTGTCAATCGTTAAGAACTTCCCATGTGTAACTTCCTAAGCAAAGAAAGCCGCCATTGAAGGTACCTTAACCTTCAAATCTATTTCCATAGGAAATCTCGACCACCCTCCCCAATCAACAACCAATAATAGGACTTGACCTCAAAGAGACCCATCTTGGAGACCTGCCACCTAAGCTCATTCTTCCCTCCTATAACAAAGGTCACCAGTTACAACTCCGAAAAGAAACCAGTTATTGCCTCTACCACTAGTTCAGATGAATTCGCCAATTATTGTCAAAAAAATAATAATGTGATAGCATAATTTGCATGCGGTCAACCACCATTTTGTTTAAAAGCTAATGTGACAATCTCCTTATTCCTCATAAATATGCCAACATCTTCTATAAATAGCTTTAAAAATAAACTAAGCTGGAGAAAGGAAAGGAAAGGAAAATTAAAAAATTAAAAAAAAAATGAGACGTACCTGAATGAATGGAGCAGCCATCTAATGATATTCATAAATCTTTGGCAATCTGCGTTCAGCTACTAGCTTAAGAATACTTACAAAGCTGATGAATCCTTATAAGAATTAGCATCTATTGTGATGAGATCAAAGAGCGGACAGAGTGTTGCACCCATAACCCCTGGATCATTATCACAAAACCTCTGTAAAAAAGCCAAAATATATATATATATATATATATTAAAAAACAAAATATTAGCTCCCGGAGAAAGTAACATACGGATTTTCTTCTCGGAAGCACAATGCACACATATACATATGCACAACTCAAACTTCATGATCTTACGAACATTACTGGGGTAGAATATGTACATCCTTTTTGGGTTGTCTACACCGATACACCACTTGCATAACTGAAAACAGTGTGCTCGGAAGTGAGTCTAGTCCTTGTATAGCACAATTGGACTGTTCCATTCTGATTTTGCTTTGGAATTTAAGGTACTAACATTGTGAAACTAAATGAAATTCGTCATCACAACTCACGGTATATTAAACCAAACCAAGCCTCAAGTCTCATCAAATGGGATCGGTTACATGAATCTTTCTTCTCCACTCGACTCTATCCAAGGCCATTTCGTTAGTCAAATTAAGGAAGTTCATATCTCTATTTACTATACTAGCCCACGTCAATCTAGGTCTGTCCATTACCCTAACACTTTCATCTACCGTCACTGTATCGCATCTCTTCACTACTGCTTATGTTGGTCTCTGTTGTATATGACCAAACTATCTCAATCTATTCTCTTTCAACTTATCTTCTATCGATACTACTCCTACCAATTCTCGAATATACTCATTCCTAACATTTTTAGTCTTGTCACACATCCACCTTAGCATCTTCATCTCAACAATACTCATCTTATCTACATGTTGTTTCTTAATTGCCCTACATTCCTACTCATATAACATCGCTGGTCTAATAGTCGTTCTATAGAACTTCCTTTTTAGTTTAGTGGGTACTCGTTTATCGTACAGTACCTCTGACACACTCTGTCACTTAAGTCACCACGCCTTAATTCTTGGACCACATCCGCTCCAACCTCCCCAGCCATTGTGATAATCGATCATAAATAATAAAAATGCCCACTCTAGGTAGTTCTTAGTTCTTAATCTTCACTTCTCCTCTGCTTCCATTATTATTGCTATTAAAATTACACTCCATGTACTATGTCTTAATTCTACTTATCCTAAATCCTTTAGATTCAAGTGTTTCTCTCCATGTCTCCAACTTAATGGTAACTCATTCTCTAGTCTCATCCACTAACGTGATATCATCTGCAAAAAACATACACCATGACACATCATCCTGATATTTCTCATCAACTCATCCATAACTAAAGCAAAAAGATAAAGACTTAAGGTTGAGCCTTGGTATAACCCTACAGTAATTGGAAATTCACTTGTCTCTCCAGCAAGCAATCTAATAGTAGTCACCATACCTCCATACATATCCCTAATCCTATCAATGTAACCTTTTGTCACCCATTTTTTCTCAAACACTCACCAGATTATATCCTGAAATACTCTATCATATGTTTTCTCAAGATCGATAAAAATCATATGAATGTTTCTTTTCTTTTCTCTATACTTTTCTATTACTCTCCTCAAAAGATAAATCGCTTCTATTATTGACCTACCAGGCATAAACCCAAATTGATTATCTGACACCTCAGTTATATCTCGCAATTGACATTCCATCACTTTCTCCCACACTTTTATTATATGACACATTAGCTTGATTCATCTATAATTGTTGCAGTTTTGAACATCTCCTTTATTCTTATAGATTGACACTAAAATACTCTTCCTCCACTCCTCTGGCATTTTCCTAGTCAACAAAATCTTGCTAAATAACTTAATCAACTAAGCAACCTCCTTTTTACCCAAACATTTCCAAGCTTCAATAGGAAAATCATCGGGTCCTAAAACCTTATTCGATTTCATCTTCTTAATTGCAATCTCCACTTCAAAGTTACGATAGAACCTGTAGTCCTAGTTTTCCTTATTACTACCTACTTTCTCCACCTTTGACCTATCTCCATGTTCCTTATTTAACAACTTTTCAAAATAGTTCTTCCACCTATCTTTAATATCTTCATCCTTCACCAACATCTTAGAGTCCTCATTCTTGATGCACTTGATCAAAATTTCTTGTTCTCCTCTCTTATTTTAGCAAGTTTGTATATCATCTTATCTCCCTCCTTACTATCTAGTCTAGTCTATAGGTCACCATAGGCTTTCAACTTAGTCTCTCTCACTACTTTTTTGACCTCCTTATTAGCCAATCTGTAACTCTTAATATTTTTCTCAATTCTATCATTATGGCACTTTTTAAAACACTCTTTTTTCGTCTTTACTACTGTTTGAACCCCTCTCTCTACCACCAAGTTTTCCTAGAATTGGGTCCCTTTCCTTTCGACTTTCTAAGAACTTCTCTTGAAATTCTCCTCATACAATTGGCTATCGCGTTCCGCATAGTGTTAGCATCATCTTCTAAGTCTCAAGTACCTTCTTTATCCATTCTATTTTTAAAAATTTCTAGTTTATCCCTTTTTAGGTCCCACAATCTCGTCCTACGACGCCCACTATCCTTCCTAGCGTGGTATTGCCCTTTAAAGCATAAATCTAATATCAAAATCCTATGTTGAGGCGTATTTCTCAATATATTATCATTTTTTTTTAAATGATGGTATGTTATCAGTTAAATCATTCAAAATCAAACTCTCCTATTATGGGGCAACTCATGATACAACTCATGGTATGTTATCCATTAAAGCATTTAAAATCACATTTTCCTATTGTAGGGTACAACCCATGGTATAGTATCCGCAAAATTGCACTATCCAATCCAGCAGTAGGGTACAACTCATGGTATATTATCCGCTAAAGCACTCAAAATTGCAATCTCCTATTGTGGGGCAACTCATAGTATATTATCACTTAAAGCATTCAAAATCGCACTCTTCTATTGTGGGGTACAACTCATGGTATATTATCATTAAAGCATTCAAAATCGCACTCTCTTATTGTGGGGTACAATCAAGGTTTAAAAATGCGGTGTTACGTAACGGTTTCGGCCGTTACGTAACGGTTTCGGTGGTAGGCACCACGCGTTACCCCCGATTTTGCGGTGTGATCAAGGTTCTGAAAAGCGGTTGCGGTTGCCGTAACGGTGGCGGTGGCGCGGTTGCGGTTGCGGGGTGTAAAGGCCGCAGCGTAACGGTTGCGGTTACCGGAACTGTGAATTTTTTTATTTTTCACACAATTTACAAAAAACTTACCGATACGCATATTTTTTTTTAGAATCATATTTATTGGGTTTTAAAATAAATTTAGATAATTTTTTCATAATTTTTAAGTATGATCCAATATATTTCATATTTTTAAATCACTATAAAATAATTTTTTTTACATTTTATTTCAATAATTAATGACTTTATATGTCATAAATCCATGTTACACTTGTGGCAAAAATTTCTTTTATTGGACTTAGATGTATAAAATTATTTTTAATTATTATACTTGTGGAAGCATATGTGCATTTTAACTCAAATAGTTTTAAAAAAGTATACATTCTTAATGGAAGAACTTAACAAAGTACATAACATCATAGCATAAATCACAAATAATAGAGAGTACATTTTACATAATGTTACTACTAAAATTACATAATGTCACCAGCAAAATGAGTGACGTGGTGCATCTTGGGATTCAGATTGTTGAGCTTGATTGTTGCTGCTACCTTCACCCCACCAAAATGAGTGACTTGGTGCATCTTGGGATTCAGATTGTTGAGCTTGATTGTTGCTGCTACCTTCACCCCACCAAAATGAGTGACGTGGTGCATCTTGGGAATCAGATTGTTGAGCTTGATTACTACTACCTTCACCCCATCCAGTAGGAAATATATAAGTAAATGTGCTCATCATGTCATCCCTTTCTGTTTCGTGCATTGGGAGAGAAAATGGATACCTTGGCTGAAAAATAATGTCACCACCAAAATGAGTGACGTGATGCATCTTGGGATTCAGATTGTTAAGCTTGATTGTTGCTGCTACCTTCACCCCACCAAAATGAGTGACTTGGTGGATCTTGGGAATCAGATTGTTGAGTTTGATTACCACTACCTTCACCCCATCCAGTAGGAAATATATAAGTAAATGTGCTCATCATGTCATCCCTTTCTGTTTCGTGCATTGGGAGAGAAAATGGATACCTTGGCTGAAAAGGATCAACATATTCTTGTTGGGCTTGTTGATAATTTGGCAAATCGTATCCTGGAGGACCACGTTGTTGAGGGGGCCAAGGATAATGTTGTTGAGGTGGGTAAGGATAGCTCTGGCTATCACTGCTATAGGATGGGTAAGGATGATATGGATAACTATGACTACTATCAGATGAATCAAGTTGTTGTTCTCTACTTCTTATTCTTCTTTCATCCCTACGTGTATCACTACCACGAAACCTCCTACGTAGTTGGGGTAAAGGTGCAACAGGTTCTCCAATATCATAATGTTCCCCAACATCACATAATCCAAATCCTCCAATAAAATCTTCACTTCCTGCACCAAAACTAGTACCATCACCGCCATCACCACCATTGTCACTGCCACCACCACCACCGTCACCGTGAGAAGTGCCTTCACCATCACCATTATCACCTCCTCCATCAGATGGTGTTAAACCACCACTATTATCACTTTGAGTTGGAGTAGGAGTTGAGCTTTGAGATGTGCATCGAGCTTGATATCTATGGGTGCCACCACCATCGTTTCCATCGCTGCCATCGCCGCCATCGCCATTGCTGTCATTGCCACCACCACCATCATCATCTGAGACCAAATGTAGCCATTCAGAATTATCCACACCATCTAGTAAAGGATTTTCCCTTTCTTCTATCCATGGATTTATTGGATCATCTTCTTCAAATATGTAATCCAAGTTAATAGGATTAAAACTCCTATCAATCTCCTCTTGGCTGCTTCTTTTAATGTGTCTTAATTTTAATCTCATGTTGTAGGTGATGAAGACTAATCTTTGAATTTTCTTATATTTCAATCTATTCCTCGTCTTCGTATGGATAAGACAAAAAGTACTCCAATTACGTTCACAGTGAGATGATGTGGTGGTTTGACTTAATACTTTCACAGCTATTTTTTGAAGTTCAGGAGCACAACTGCCATGAATAATCCACCACTCAGCTGCACAAAATTACATTACATTAGACATAAGTCAAAATATGATAAAAAATTATTTAAGTATTTATATATTGTAAATTTGTAATTTTGAAAATAAAACCTGGATTTGATTGTTTCCATGCTCTTTGTGCTAAAGGAGTACCAAAAGTTTCCTGTTTATCTCGAAACAGCAACAACTACAATTTGGACAATCATTACAAGTAACATTTGCAAAAGTAGATTATTACTATTAAAATTTAAATAATTGGTACGTACTTGATTTGTTGCTTTCACTTGAGCATCCATATTAGGCTCCAGTCTGGTAATTACTTTTTTAAGTCCATCCATCACTTCTCTTATCATTTCATTGGATGAGGTAACACCATATTGGAATTGAGGATTTAAAAAATATCCTTCAAAAATAAGAAGACAATTAATAATTGTAAATAAATATACATTTTATAATTGAAATCGTAACACTAACTGGCTGCCGCATGCAAATCTTGATGCAATTGAAAAGACCATCGAGTATCAATAATTTTCTAATACTCGGTGTAGTGGCGACAATCTCTTTTAATTGCCAACTTTGCTCTATCTATAGTTTCATATATGAAACCCATTGTTGGCTTCTCATCTCCATCAACCAACCTCAATACTCTGACTAGGGGCTCATGAACTTTACAAAGCTCTGTTGCTTTCTGCCAAAACTCCTTTCCCAAAATAATTTTTTTCACATTGTAAGGCTGCCCAGTCTTTGCCTTCCCCCATCTAGAATTCTTCCACTCATCACTATTAAACATAGCTCTCAATTGTTGTTTATATCTAACAATACTCTCAATGGCAATAAAATTTGTAGCAAATCGAGTGATGGCAGGTCGAATCAATTCTCTACCTCCAGTGAATTTTCTCATTAAATCCAACACCCATCCACTATTATAAATGAAATTGGTGATGGTTTTACCATCTTCAATCACCTTTGCTACACTTTTCTTATTGGCTATGTCTTTTAGCATGAGATCGATACAATGTGCTGAACAAGCTGTCCAATATAAATGTTTCCTTTTTCTCATTAACATTTTACCGGCTGCTTTCAGTGCAGGTTCATTATCAGTTACCACTTGAACAACGTATTGTTCTCCAATTTCATCAACAACTTTATCTAACAACCCAAAATAATATTCAGCAGTCCTACTAACAATATTAGAGGCATCAATTGATTTGTGAAATATAGTACCTCTATTGCAGTACACTAAGAAGTTGATGATGTGTTGCCGAGTTAGACTGCTCCAACCATCACACATGATGGATACACCTCTCTCTGCCCAAATTCCCTTAAATGATGCTATCCATTCTGTCATTTCATCATGCTCCATGCCCAAATATACTTCAGAAACTTCATAAGCACTAGGACCTTTTACTCCTGGCCCTACTTCAGCAGCAACATCAAGCATGGGTTGTGTATACTCTGAATCAACTACATTGAATGGAATGCGATTATAGAGTATAAACTTGGACACTGCCCGTCCCAATCTCTCTTTTAACTTTTGTAAATTCATTGTAAAGATTTTTCGTTGCTTTGTACTCTTGCTCTTTTGGAGTTCTATATCCATTGCTCTCAACCTTGTTTCAGGAGCATTGGCCTTTATCCAATTACGTCCACTCCCACCAGTTTCACGCACGGATTGTGATTGACGAAAAACATTGGCAATACTTGACCTTTTTGGCAATCTTTGACCACTACCCCCTGCACCAAAACTACCACCTGCATCGTATTGTGATCCATGACCTGCAACACCTCGTCTAAATTGTTGCATTTTCTCCCATTGTTGTTGTGAACGAATACTTGCTTGTCTAGCCCTAGTCATCTCTGGATCAGAATCAGAGTCATTATCTCAAAGATCTACAAAATCTCCCCCTTCATCCTCATCATCAAGATCATCTCCCCTAATATGTGCTTCCAATTCAACTTTTCTCTTTTGTTTGTCTGCTTTACTCATTTTCTTATTTTGTAAATGTTTCATCATTTCTTGCCTCACGTCTCTACTAACATTAGGACAAGAATGCACTTGCCCCGTTTGATGTGCTAAATGTTGTTTGAAACGCGTAATCCCACCTTTAATGTGATGTCCACAAAATTTGCAAATAATATGATGCCTAGTGCCTTCAACTTGAGTTCCAAATTTCCAACCAATATCATCACTTGGGGGTTCATCATTGGCACCCTTTTGTCGTGGCATTTTTGAATTTGAATTCTACATTACAAAAAATAAAAAATAAAAAAAATTCAACCCCTATTTATTGTCACAACACATTACAATAACAAATTTCGTCATTAAAAAAAAAATTTGTTGTCACAACACATTACAATAACAAAATAGAATTTCTTTATAATTAAATGTTAAATGAAATGATTATAAAAAAAATTCAACCACTATTTATACATTTGGATTTTACATGCTAATGTAATTAGGAATAAAGACATTTTTCATGGCATTATTTGAGCTGTTGTTTTTATTTTTATTTTATTTTATTTTTTATTTATTTTATAGAAAGATATTTTTTTTACAAAAAAAAAATTTGTGCCATCAAAATTGTTGTCACAACACATTACAATAACAAAATTTTAAAAAAATATTTCAAATTAAATACTAAATAAAATAGTTATAAAAAAATGCAACCACTATTTATACACTTCGATTTTACATGCTAAATGAAATGATTAAATATTAAATGAAACGATTTTATAATTAAATATTAAATGAAACGATTTTATAAGTAAATATTAAATGAAATGATTATAAAAAAAATGCAACCACTATTTATACATTTGGAGTTTACATGCTAATATAATCATATAAAAATTAAAAAATAAAATATAAATAATTTTTGTTGAGGTATTGATTTTTTTTTTCTTTTAAGAAGATATTTAAAAAAAAAAATTAGTGACTTCAACATTGTTGTCACAATACATTACAATAACAAAATAAAAAATATTTATAATTAAATATTAAATGAAACGATTATAAAAAAAAAATGCAACCACTATTTATACATTTGGAGTTTACATGCTAATATAATCATATAAAAATTAAAAAATAAATTATAAAGAATGATTGTTTTAAGGAAAAGCAATTTCTCTTCTGAAGTTACCATCAGAAAGCACAAATGTAGAGGAGATCAGAGAAATGAGTTCATGTCAAAGTGAACAATTTGTAACGGGTAATGGGTTTGATGTGGACTTGTATCAGCTACCAGACATGCTTCATTGTTTAAGCATACCTGGGCTAGTGTCTCGAGAACCAGATTCTATTGGTGCTACCGATGCAATGGAAGGCAAAATCTTTGAACTTTTAAGGGAGTTGGATGAAGCAAAAACTGAACGAGAAGGCCTTGTTAGAAAAATGAACCAGATGGAGTGCTACTATGAGGCTCTTATTCAGGAGCTTGAGGAAAATCAAAAGCAAATGCTAGGAGAGTTGCATAATCTCAGAAATGAGCACTCTACCTGCCTGTACACCATTGCAACCACCAGAACTGAGATGGAATCAATGTGCCAAAATATGAATGAGCAGATCTTAAAATTGACCGAAGAGAGACGTGATTTGGATTCCATTAGCAAGGAGCTTGAAAGAAGGGCTATTACTTCAGAAGCAGCACTAAGGAGGGCTCGCTTGAATTATTCCATTGCAGTGGGTCAATTACAAAAGGACCTTGATCTGCTTTCTTTCCAGGTTTCATCTATGTTTGAGACTAACGAGAACCTTATTAAACAAACTTTTTCAGAAACTTCACAAATATTCTTCCAAGGAGACACAGATTCAGTGCCGATCCCAGAAGAATCTGAGGCTGCTAAACCCGTGCAGTATCATAATCAAATCAAAAAAAAAAAATCAATACCTCAAAAAAAATTCTTTATAATTCATTTTTTAATTTTTATATGATTACATTGGCATGTAAAATTGAAATGTATAAATAGTGGTTGTATTTTTTATAACTATTTTATTTAGTATTTAATTTGAAATATTTTTTTTAATTTTTTTATTGTAATGTGTTGTGACAACAATTTTGATAGCACAAATTTATTTATTTTTTTAAAAAAATGTCTTTCTCTAAAATAAAAAAATAAAAATAAAAACAATAGCTCAATCAATGCCATGAAAAATGTCTTTATTCCTAATTACATTATCATGTAAAATCCAAATGTATAAATAGTGGTTGAATTTTTTTTATAATCATTTCATTTAATATTTAATTATAAATATTTTTTATTTTGTTATTACAACACTGGTAAAGGCATAATTTTATTTTTAAAAAAATGTCTTTTTTTTAAAAAAAAATCAATACCTCAAAAAAAATTCTTTATAATTCATTTTTTAATTTTTATATGATTACATTAGCATGTAAAATCGAAATGTATAAATAGTGGTTGCATTTTTTTATAACTATTTTATTTAGTATTTAATTTGAAATATTTTTTTTAATTTTTTTATTGTAATGTGTTGTGACAACAATTTTGATAGCACAAATTTATTTATTTTTTTAAAAAAATGTCTTTCTCTAAAATAAAAAAATAAAAATAAAAACAATAGCTCAATCAATGCCATGAAAAATGTCTTTATTCCTAATTACATTATCATGTAAAATCCAAATGTATAAATAGTGGTTACATTTTTTTATAATTATTTTATTTAGTATTTAATTTTAAATATTTTTTTTACAATCATTTCATTTAAAAATAAATTTAAAAAATGTATTAATGATGCAGAATTCATATTCAAAAATGCCACGACAAAAGGGTGCCAATGATAAACCCCCAAGTGATGATATTGGTTGGAAATTTGGAACTCAAGTTGAAGGCACTAGACATCATATTATTTCCAAATTTTGTGGACATCACATTAATGGTGGGATTACGCGTTTCAAACAACATTTAGCACATCAAACAGGACAAGTGCGTTCTTGTCCTAATGTTAGTGGAGACGTGATGCAAGAAATGATGAAACATTTACAAAATAAGAAAATGAGTAAAGTAGACAAACAAAAGAGAAAAGCTGAATTGGAAGCACATATTAGGGGAGATGATCTCTATGATGAAAATGAAGAGGAAGATTTTGTAAATCTTCGAGATGATGACTCTGACTCTGATCCAGAGATGACCAGGGCTAGACAAGCAAGTATTCGTTCACAACAACAATGGGAGGAAAGGCAACAATTTAGAGGAGGTGTTGCAGGTCATGGATCACAATACGATGCAGGTGGTAGTTCTGGTGCAGGGGGTAGTGCTCAAAGAATGCCAAAAGGGTCAGGTATTGCTAATGTTTTTCGTCGATCACAATCTGTGCGTGAAGCTGGTGGGAGTGGACGTAATTGGATTAAGGCCAATGCTCCTGAAGCGAGGTTGAGGGCAATGGATGTAGAACTCCAAAAGAACAAGAGTACAAAACAGCGAAAAATCTCCACAATGAATTTACAGAAGCTAAAAGAGAGATTGTGACGGGCAGTGTCCATGTTTATACTCTATAATCGTATTCCATTCAATGCAGTTGATTCAGAGTATACACAACCCATGCTTGATGTTGCTGCTGAAGTAGGGCCAAGAGTAAAGGGTCCTAGTGCTTATGAAGTTTCTGAAGTATATTTGGGCATGGAGCATGATGAAATGACAGAATGGATAGGATCATTCAAGGGAATTTGGGCAGAGAGAGGTGTATCCATCATGTGTGATGGTTGGAGCAGTCTAACTCGGCAACACATCATCAACTTCTTAGTGTATTGCAATAGAGGTACTATATTTCACAAATCAATTGATGCCTCTAATATTGTTAGTAGGACTGCTGAATATTATTTTGGGTTGTTAGATAAAGTTGTTGATGAAATTGGAGAACAATACGTTGTTCAAGTGGTAACTGATAATGAACCTGCACTGAAAGCAGCCGGTAAAATGTTAATGAGAAAAAGGAAACATTTATATTGGACAGCTTATTCAGCACACTGTATCGATCTCATGCTAAAAGACATAGCCATAAGAAAAGTGTAGCAAAGGTGATTGAAGATGGTAAAACCATCACCAATTTCATTTATAATAGTGGATGGGTGTTGGATTTAATGAGAAAATTCACTGGAGGTAGAGAATTGATTCGACCTGCAATCACTCGATTTGCTACAAATTTTATTGCCATTGAGAGTATTGTTAGATATAAACAACAATTGAGAGCTATGTTTAATAGTGATGAGTGGAAGAATTCTAGATGGGGGAAGGCAAAGACTGGGTAGCCTTACAATGTGAAAAAAATTATTTTGGGAAAGGAGTTTTGGCAGAAAGCAACAGAGCTTTGTAAAGTTCATGAGCCCCTAGTCAGAGTATTGAGGTTGGTTGATGGCGCATATTGATGAACAATGGGTTTCATATATAAAGCTATAGATAGAGCAAAGTTGGCAATTAAAAGAGATTGTCGCTACTACACCGACTATTGGAAAATTATTGATACTCGATGGTCTTTTCAATTGCATCAAGATTTGCATGCGGCTGGTAAGTGTTACGATTTCAATTATAAAATGTATATTTATTTACAATTATTAATTGTCTTCTTATTTTTGAAGGATATTTTTTAAATCCTCAATTCCAATATGGTGTTACCTCATCCAATGAAATGATAAGAGAAGTGATGGATGGACTTAAAAAAGTAATTACCAGACTGGAGCCTAATATGGATGCTCAAGTGAAAGCAACAAATCAAGTACGTACCAATTATTTAAATTTTAATAGTAATAATCTACTTTTGCAAATGTTACTCGTAATGATTGTCCAAATTGTAATTGTTGTTGTTTCGAGATAAACAAGAAACTTTTGGCACTCCTTTAGCACAAAGAGCATGGAAACAATCAAATCCAGGTTTTATTTTCAAAATTACAAATTTACAATATATAAATACTTAAATAATTTTTTTATCATATTTTGACTTATGTCTAATGTAATGTAATTTTGTGCAGCTGAGTGGTGGATTATTCATGGCAGTTGTGCTCTTGAATTTCAAAAAATAGCTGTGAAAGTATTAAGTCAAACCACCACATCATCTCACTGTGAACGTAATTGGACTACTCTTAATCTCATCCATACGAAGACAAGGAATAGATTGAAATATAAGAAAATTCAAAGATTAGTCTTCATCACCTATAACATGAGATTAAAATTGAGACATGTTAAAAGAAGCAGCCAAGAGGAGATTGATAGGAGTTTTAATCCTATTAACTTGGATTATATATTTGAAGAAGATGATCCAATAAGTCCATGGATAGAAGAAAGGGAAAATCCTTTGCTAGATGGTGTGGATAATTCTGAATGGCTAGATTTGGTCTCAGATGATGATGGTGGTGGTGGCAACGACAGTAATGGCGATGACGGCGATGGCAGCGATGGAAACGATGGTGGTGGCACCCATAGATATCAAGCTCGACGCACTTCTCAAAGCTCAACTCCTACTCCAACTCAAAGTGATAATAGTGGTGGTTTAACACCATCTGATGGAGGAGGTGATGATGGTGATGGTGAAGGCACTTCTCACGGTGACGGTGGTGGTGGTGGCGGTGGCGGCGACAATGGTGGTGATGGCGGTGATGGTACTAGTTTTGGTGCAGGAAGTGAAGATTTTATTGGAGGATTTGGATTATGTGATGTTGGAGAACATTATGATATTGGAGAACCTGTTGCACCTTTACCCTAACTACCTAGGAGGTTACGTGGTAGTGATATACGTAGGGATGAAAGAAGGATAAGAAGTAGAGAACAACAGCTTGATTCATCTGATAGTAGTCATAGTTATCCATATCATCCTTACCCATCCTATAGCAGTGATAGCCAGAGCTATCCTTACCCACCTCAACAAAATTATCCTTGGCCCCCTCAACAACGTGGTCCTCTAGGATATGGTTTGCCAAATTATCAACAAGCCCAACAAGAGTATGTTGATCCTTTTCAGCCAAGGTATCCATTTTCTCTCCCAATGCACGAAACAGAAAGGGATGACATGATGAGCACATTTACTTATATATTTCCTACTGGATGGGGTGAAGGTAGTAGTAATCAAGCTCAACAATCTAATTCCCAAGATGCACTACGTCACTCATTTTGGTGGGGTGAAGGTAGCAGCAACAATCAAGCTCAACAATCTGAATCCCAAGATGCACCACGTCACTCATTTTGGTGGTGACATTATGTAATTTTAGTAGTAACATTATGTAAAATGTACTCTCTATTATTTGTGATTTATGCTATGATGTTATGTACTTTGTCAAGTTCTTCCATTAAGAATGTATACTTTTTAAAAACTATTTGAGTTAAAATGCACATATGCTTCCACAAGTATAATAATTAAAAATAATTTTATACATCTAAGTCCAATAAAAGAAATTTTGGCCACAAGTGTAACATGGATTTATGACATATAAAGTCATTTATTATTGAAACAAAATGTAAAAAAAAATATTTTATAGTGATTTAAAAATATGAAATATATTGGATCATACTTAAAAATTATGAAAAAATTATCTAAATTTATTTTAAAACCAAATAAATATGATTCTAAAAAAAAATATGCGTATTGGTAAGTTTTTTGTAAATTGTGCGAAAAATAAAAAAATTCACAGTTCCGGTAACCGCAACCGTTACGCTGCGGCCTTTACACCCCGCACCCGCAACCGCGCCACCACCACCGTTACGGCGACCGTAACCGCTTTTCAGAACCTTGGGTACAATTCATGGTTATATTATCCATTAAAGCATTCAAAATCGCACTCTCCTATTGTGTGCAACGCATGGTATATTATCACCTATGAAGCACAGACAGGGATATAGCTACAAATACGGATATGGACACAGATACGGGACATGTAAATTTCAAAAAAACGGGAATACAGACACGATGGAAAACATAGAAAAAAATTTTAAATTTATTTTTATATATATTTACTATGTAGATTAATATTTATGTTACCAACAACGCTCAATTAGTACACATTAATATGTGTTTGAGAGGGGAAAGATTGAGTACACACTCAACCTTTGGCATAATTCACAAAATGGTGGCCCCAAGACTTGAATCCATAGCCTTAAGGTTATTAGGCCAAGTCTTAACCATTAAACCAAACAATCAAATTAATAAAAACTAACATTAATTCAATATATATATATATATAAACCACTACATTTAAACAAATTAATAGATTATTCATATTTGGATACACGTGTCCCCGTTGTGTCCCTCGCAAAAAAATAATAATAATAATAATAATAAAATTAAACGGACACGTCAGCATGTCCCTAGCGTGTCCCCGTGTCCTTGACATGTCCCTGCAAAAAAATAATAAAATTAGGCATGTCCCATACGTGTCCCCGGCGTATCCCTATGTCCAACACCGCTATGATGCCTATTTTGAAGTGTTCGTACTTCATTAATTATCACTCAAAGCTTTCAAAATTGCTCTATCCTATTGTGGGATACAATTCATGGTATATTATCCGTTAAAGCATTCAAAATTGCACTCTCCTATGGTGGGGCAACTCATGGTATTTTATCACTTCAAACTTACAAAATCACACTCTCCTATTGTGGGGTACAATTCATGGTATATTATCACTTAAAAGCATTAAAAATTGCAGTCTCCTAGGGTACAACTCATGGTATATTATCGATTAAAGGATTCAAAATTGTACTCTCCTTGGAGCACAACTCATGGTATATATCCATTAAAGCATTCAAACTGCAGTCTCCAATTGTGGTGGTTGCCATTGCTCTCCAATACATATAAATAAATAATCCAATAGACAATTTATTCTCCATTGTGATCAGGTCATATCTATAAAGCACGGGTGCGGGTATGGAAACTCTTAAAAAAGTAAGACACGGATACGGTTGGGGTACGTCAATTTTTTTTTAATTTTCTTTTTTAAATTGAAATCTAAGCATCTAACATACAGATCAAAGTTTCAATATCAAAATTAAAAAGAGAACAACTTGTCTAAAAAGTTATATAATTCTTTTTTTTTCTTTTTTGATTATCTAAAACAAGATACAAAAAAGAGTAAAATCATGACTCATGGGTAAAAGTTGTTGAAAATAAATTACTTGATATTTTCAAAATTGAAAGAAGAATAATAAAGGCTATAATAACTGTAAAAACAAAAACAAAAAATTCACCTCGCTGTACTGGTGTCATACCCATGCCGTACGCACAATGTAACCAAATGTATTTGCCGTACCTAGCATGTATTCGGCATACTGGTACTATATGGCACCCAATAAGTACCCGCTACTAGTACGATACCATTTTTAAAATACCCATATGACACCCAGTAAGTACCCGATACTCCTACGCCACCATTTTTAGAGTACCGTGTCATAGGGTCATATTTGTGAAACTAACAACATTAATACCAACATTCACTGCTGGAAAATTGACTTTTAGCGGTGTTTTAAAAACGCCGCTATAGGTACTGAAAACGTCGTTAATTCTTTTTGTGACGTTTAGTACCAAACGCCGAAGACGCGGCCGTCGCTATAGCTTTATGGTGTTTGGAAAACGTCGGTATATTAATATAGGAAAAACGCCGCCAAATGTCCCACCCTAACTCACTATGACATTTATCGACGTTTTGAAAACGCCGTCAAAGACATTTATACATTTTAAAAATCTAACCGTTGGGATAGGGATATAGTGACGTTCAAAAAATGCCGCCATAGCCTCTTTTTTTTTTTTTTTGAAGTTGTGCTAATTTTATATGGTTGAAAAAAATACCTGTCATAAACAATTATTAAGAACTAATAATTGATGTTTATTAAAATTATAAATTAACTAAGTTTGAAAAAAAAATTAAAAATAAAAAACAATGCAATAAGATGTGATACATGTACAATTACAGAATATATCTAGACACAAAATATATTAAAAATCCGTGAGGATTTATTTACAAAGTCAGGCTTGAAAACTCATGCAGAAAGCAAAGAAGACATCTATACTCCTAATGACACAATATCGATAGTAACAAAAGCTTGGCCAGTTCATAAACAAAATTTTCTTTCTGAACGAGGCAAACTTTGCCAATTTGTCCTCCTGCAAAAAATCACAACCAGGACCAAATTAGAAAAGTTAATATCAGTACAATAGATTGACACATTAGATTAGAATGGAAAACATTAGATTAAATTTCATTTACTAATATCAGTACAAACCAACTTCATATATATACATATTTAAGTCCAAAAACCAACCAAACAAGACAAACAAGTAAAAAAAAATAATCAATTTAACAGAAACATATAACTCATTTAGGTGCTAACCAAAATTGAGTGGATGCATCAAGAATTCACATCCTGTTAACAAATACAAACCACTTTGATATATATATACATACACATTTAAAGAGGTCCACGTACTCCATGAAATTTGAAATGTGCATCTCTGTTGAGTTGAGACAGCATGTACCGACTACATAGTGCTTACAATACAGTGCTTGAGAAATTTGCATGGATCTATTTGCTGCAGCAGCAAGTATGGCTTCATTTAACCGAAAATTGGAACTTCGGCATCACCGGTTGAACTTCTTATGTGGTGATGCCAATGAGGTTGTTGTGGCTGATTCAAGCTGTAGTTGCACTGTTTGGTTGTTCCCTTAGCTTCCTCTTTGGATGACACTGCAGCGAGGAGATCTATTCCACCCGAATCCACCTTACTGAACATGAGGTTAGCAACAGCCCTGTCAATGGAATTCGTCTCTGATTCCATAGTTTTCGTGTCCTCCAACTTGAGAGAATAAAATTAGCCTTGTGAATATCTGTCGTTGCAACAAGAACACCAACACCATTGTTCTCATGACAAAATGAAACTTCATCATTTGACATGTATAAAAATGCAAAACCCTACACGCACAGAAAGTTTGTGTGCACAAAATGCAACAATTTGTACATTTTGTGAGACATTGGTGGATACTGTGTGCGTAAACTTTTATGCACATATCATTGCTGATGCAATTGTATTTAACATGAAGGAAAATAATAAATGATGCAGTAGAAAATTTTAAGAGAAGTAAAGATGACAACATGAGCTTCAGGAAGAGGAGAATAAAACAGGTTATCCTGATTGCCAAATTTTGACTATTTTCATAGATCAAGGTATCTCTCTGTTCTCTCTCCCCCTCTCTATCAATGCACCTAGTTCTGATTTCTCCACTCTTACACCCCTAAGCATGGTTTGTATTGGATCAATTTAGTCGTAAATCAAGACCAATGAATCAATTCATCACCTACAATTCCATCAAATTTGAAACGAAACCAATCTATAAAAAAACAAAAATTTTCAGATTTAAATAATAGACCTATACAACAGATTTGTCATAAATAATTAACATAAATAAATATTTTATGCTTTAAAATTAACAAACATGTTTTTGGGATTTTATTTTTTAAAATTTTCAAACATTTTGTTCGATCCAAATGTGTTTGTAGTTTTTGTTTTTGTTCTCTGGTGTAAAGAGCTCCTACAAACCCTGAAGAGTTTAACCTCTTGTACTAATCAATGATGAGAAATAGGTTAAAGCATTCACATACTGTCAATCCATCACAGACAATGCACAAAATCTGATAATCTATTAATCAATGATGAGAAGTATGTTATAGCCTGGAAATAAACACCATGCCCCTGTAATTTGTGAGCAAAATTGTTTATTAAGATTGAAACCAGAGCAACACAAAATATACATAATTCTAAAAGTTTAAATAGGGCTTGTGTGAAATGAGACGAGTCGAAATGAGTAGTAGATATAGTTCAAAGTTTGCTTGAAAACTAAATAAGTTTCAAAATGTGTTGAGTCGATCTCAGACATGCTTTAAGCGAGCCAAATTCAAGTAGCTTATTTGTCTACAGTAAATAAAAACTTATCAAGCCGAATAGTAGATTGTTCAAACTTGGCTTAAAAACTTAATGAGTTTTAAAATGCATTTAACTATGGGTTTTACATAACGAGCCAATATCGAACGAGCATTTAACGAGCCAAACACGACTCAAGCTCAAGTAGCTTGGCTCATTTAACAGTCCTAATTTTAAATCATATAAGGTGTGTGGGCATGATAAAAAGAATGCATGATAAGTTTTCATTGACTTATGTCCTTATAAGTTTGAACTGGACTAAAAGGTTGTCTTAAAACCTCCTTGACTATTTGTTTAACTTCTAAACAAGATCTAAATGGTGGAACTTGATTGCAAGGTGCATTCGAGCAGGGGTCATGGCCAGTCATGCAGGGTTGTCCAGAAAGGGATGAACAGCTACTAGAGTAAGCGCACTTGCATAAGGCTGAGAATGGAAGCTCAATTGAGTGGGCCTATGGGCACTCGAGTGAGCTATCTGCCTAGACTTGCACGGAAAGGCAATTTTGATCTGATTTTGACATCTAGACTCTAATCCTAGTAATCCTAGGCTTTTTTCAGGGTTAGCTCTATAAATACTCATTTGTAACTCTATTATAGTAGTCTTGAGAGTGTGAGAAACCTATTTATTAGTGAGATCAATAGAGTGAGTTTGTGAAATTGAGTGTGAGAAACTCTTGTAATTCCTTTATTATGATCATAGTGAAATCACAACGAATCCATAGATGTAGCCCTTTCTTTAAATGAACCATGTAAATCTTTGTGTTGCTTTTGTGTGTTTAATCTAGTTTCTGTTACAGATTCATTGTTTGTGCGTGTGCTTCCTCAGGTCCTAAAGGTTTTGGAATTTATTCCAGAACAGCCTTCTGTCCAAAATCTTACTGATCATTTTGCATGGCACCTGAGCAGATCCTACTGCTTTACACGGACAGTTTTGGTTTTTTTCAACAATCACAGATTAAAATTCTGAAATCTTCAAAATGCATCCCCATACAATAGTTCTAAGAAAAATGTCTTGTCATTTTAATTGTGTCAGCTGGAGAACACATCCTGAATTTCCTGTACCGATTTCCAACCTACAATACATGCAACTAAAATATGAAGATACCTTGATAATTTCTGACAAGCTGGCAGGCATCCATATGATTCCAATTTTAAATGTTGAAGGAATTATTTCTTTTAAGACCTTCAAATATCCAAAGCAGGAGGCAGTTTCCAGTAATTCCATGAATTATAATTCTCCTGGAACCAAGGGGGAAAATGGGTGGGAATTGAGTTAGTCAACAAAAGAAAGGAGATAAACTGAGAGTACCAAAACACAATTTCTATTCAAATGAATGGTGAAGAATAACAAAAATGGAAAAATCATAGACAAGACACGGCACACTAGTGTCCTTGGGGTTAACCTCATTGAAGTGTATCTATTATTGCACTAAAAAAGATCCCTTCAGTGATTGCAGTTTCAAAACTAATCCTCCATTTGTTTCGGCAGAAAACATTTTCCTATGTTAGACATGCTGAGATCTCATGCAAATCATAATGGAGTCTTTTCAGAATTACCTTGGGATTAATGATGAAGATTTTTCCCTTTGGGATTCCAACCTTAAGGTAGCTAAACTCATCAGTGTCTCTATTTCCAAAACCAGCATAGAACGGGTTGCAATCTGCAGGAAATAATGCCTTAATATCCTGAAAAATTGTAAACAAACATAATTAAGAACCTCTCTCTTCCAGACATATTAAGATACCTGTGTAGTAGAGATGACAAGAACCAACCTCTAAGCAAGCAATTTTAAATTCATGAGGAGCTCTTCTGATGACTGCAAAATTTTGATAGGATAATCTCTCAGTGCACTAAATATATGCAAGATGTACATATTAATGGAAGCTATTTGCAGAGATTGCAAATCATTCCTATTCTTGTTTTCAGATAATGGATCAAGCAATATAATTTGCAAAAAACCCAAAATGTGTGGATTGTTACACTTGCATGAAAATAAAGTTGCGGAATTTACAAAAATCAGGCAATTCATGAATGAGTTTCAATAAACAGAGCACTACACCAAGTACCTTCTCGAAACAAGGAAGGAAACAGTCCGTCAGGGGAAATAACAACAGGCCCTTCTGGTAAAGCCTTTCCATCCTGCAAAAGAGAGAAATGGAATCTGTGAGGAAACAGACAGCAGATAGCACCAATCACTTTCGTGACATTGACTCTCCATCTCATCACCTGCTTAAGGTTGAATAGGAATTCTTTAATGTGATAGGCCTATGAGATAGCACGTGCGCTTAGAAAAAGTAAATGATACCCATTTTCCTGCAATACGAAAGAACAGAACTGGTTAATGAAAATTTTTAACAATCTTGTCAATAGAGATGTTTTTCAGAATTGTGATTCCAATTACACAATCAATCAGTAAATAATAGAACAAAAGCACACACGCAAAAACAAGACACAAGATATACGTGGTTTGGCAGAGTGTGCCTATATCTACTGCAGAAATGGAGGACAAATCCACTATACTCAATAAGGATTATAAGAAGACTTTCAACCTCTCAATGCAGCACAGTATTCTATAACACTCTCTATGAAACCTTACCCAAAAAAGGCCCCTTACAGTACTCTAGAGTGAATGGTAAATACAAGACACCTCACAACAAGGGAAGTAGTAAAAGTAATGAGATAAATAAAATGTACGGAAAATTGTCCATTCTCAAACTCCAGAGACAAAAGTAAGAAATGAGAAATAAAGCAATGCAAAGCCAATAGCGTAAATCACAATGACAAAATGGAGTAAATACATGATTGCATAGATTTTTGGCCCAAAAAAAAAAAGGTGGCTGCAAATGAAAATATTTATTTGAATTATGGAGTCATGAATTGCAATATGCATCATTACCGTAAACTGAAAAGAATAGATTAAAAATTACAAATAAAAAAACACATAAGAGGGATACATTCGAAGAGACTGCTAACATATCAAATCGTAAACAAAGGGACTGAAATGTAATCAAAACAACATTTAAACAATTGAGATATTTAAGCACAACAAAAAGTAAAGTTGCGATAGAAATGATGATATGACACACAATCTGACCTCACCTCCAACCCTAGGAGGAGGTTCAAGACTGTAAACCCTAGGAGAAGAATCAGCGGAATGAAGATTTTGACAGAAAGAGAGAGAACTTCGACATCGAAATCGAGATTGTAGACAGTAGTGCTCACCTTAGTAGATGATGCAGATGGTGGTGGTGGTGGTGGTGGAGCTTCGAAATCGAGAGAGAGAGAAAGAGAGAGAAAGAGAGAGAGAGAGAGAGAGAGAGAGAGAACTTCGAAATCGAAATCACCGAGCTGAAGAAGGTTGAATCGTATCTTCCAAATCGACATTGAAATTGATTATGCTCTACGAAATCGAAATCACTTTGAGATTGGATCACCGAACTTCGATATCGAAATCACTTTAAGGGTTTAGAGAGAGCGAGCGAGCGAGATTCATACACTGGTGTTTCTCAGATTTGAGTGAGTGAAAGTGAGAAGAAGGGTTTCTCAGATTAGAATGAGGGTTCGAAGAGGGAGAGAGAGCGCGTGAGAGTGGGATACATTCGAAGGCATTTCCAAACGGGTTAAACGGTACCGTTTTATTTAATTAAAATGTGGGATACATTCGAAGGCGTTTTTAAACAGGGTAAACGGTACCTTTTTATTAAATTAAATTGCGACGTTTATAAAACGTTGTTAATATTAGAAAATATGGCGTTTAAAAAAACACCGTTAAAAAAAACGCCATTATATCACATATTTCCTGTAGTTATTAATACCATATAAAGAGCAAAACCAGCACACACCTTCCTGAAATTAGAGACTAGATGAGCGACAAACGATGGCGACCGCTGATAAAACCGATGAAGCGCCATGACCGCCTTCTTCCTGACCGCCTCCTTCGGGTGCCCCAACAACTCCACCACCTGGGGAAGCACCGCAACACCGCATTCAAAGCCGCACAAACCACCAAATAATTATCTGGTTTCAAATCCTTCTGAATTGTATTCACAATCAGTATAATCAAATCATGGTCCTCATTCAAAAACAGAGTCACAGCCAAGAACCCAGTTCGCTTCAACAAAAGATTATCGTCATGAGTCATCTTCACAACATGAATGTACCCGAAAGAAGCGTCGTGGCCGAGCATTTCGACGTAGACGAGGCGAATGATGAACTCTTTCATCTTCCTTTTGGGAATGTCGGGTTCGGTGATTTGGCGCTTGAGGGTTTCGATCTTGCGAAGAATAATTCGGTCCTCTTCGACTTTTGATCGGGTTTCGCCGATCGATTTCACGAGGATGAGGAAGTCTTTGGATTCGCCGAACCCCCCATGGGAGCCCATTGCGAGAGTCTCCAGCTTCGAATATTTTTGGTTCCAGGTTTTGAATTCGAATTTGATTTGGAATTTGATATGAGTTCTAGGGTTTTGTGTGTGTGTGTGTGTGTGTAACAGAGTCGGAAGAAACAAAGAAGACTAGAGGATCAACCAGTGGCCATGTGAGGGAAGCACACGACCAGCACGGACAATATCAACACATAAACAAAAAAAGAAAATTGCACTTTGACTCCTTAAATTTTAGAACTTTTTCACCTTAATCCTTAAAAAAAAATTTGAAACTTTTACTGTTAACCTTTGTAATTTTTTCTAATTTATTTTCAAAACAACTGGAGGGAAAATGCTATTTGCCATAAAAATGTGGGAGGTTATACTTTGGCTCCTAAATTTTATAATTTTCCCACTTTAGCCTGTAAAATATTTTTTTATTTCACTTTAGTCCTTAATTTTAATTTACTTTAAAAACAATTATCATCCAATTTTGAATGGAACAAATGCCACTTTGATAGGCATGTTACATAAAAATAAATTATAATTTTTGTTAAATTTTCAAAACTTTTTTTTTTATTTTTTATTTTTAATATGATGAAAATTTTATGGCCTCTAACCATTAAGTTAATTTTTTTTTTTTTTTTTTGGTTGAAATTTCCATTGTGTCTCATATCAAGGGTTATGACCTTATGATTTTGGTGTTTGTTCTAACCCTTTATAATGGGTTCCTGAGAGCATTTCCAACGGTTTATCAAATTTTTCACCAAATCTGAGTAAAAAAAAAAGACCATTTTCTCAATCTGATATAGACTGCTCCAATGGTTGTCATCAAAGCAGGGGTCGACCGGTTAGTGTATTTTTTTTTTTACCTCTTTGAACCTTTTGACCTGTTTAAACCAACCTATTTGCAAGGGAACCGGTCGACCGGTTGGTCTCCCCCAATGGTCACGCACAATAAATTGGTGAAATCTTCCCCCTGTTCTCACTTTGATGAAAAATTTGGTGAATTCTCGTTTTGATACCAATTTGATGAAACCATTGGAGCTGCAAAAAGTGACTTTTTCACCAAATTTCAAATCTGATGTAAGGTTTGGTAAAGCGTTGGAGATGGTCTAGGCCACAGATATATTACTTTTCTGTATTTCTCCATTTTTTAGGTTGAGGTCTTGGTTGCGAGATATTTAAGAAATGTGTATTTAGAATTATTTTCAACTTTAGCCATTGTATCTTGGAGATGGAATTTTTTATATTGGTTTTGTATCATAGAGGACAAATTGCTTTATTTAGGTTAAGGTTTTGGTCGCGAGATATTTAAGAAATGTGTATTTAGGATTATCTTCAACTTTAGCCATTGTATCTTGGAGATGGAATTTTTTACATTCGTTTTGTATCATAGAGGACAAATTACTATATTAAATAAAGCGTTATCAATGTGTCTTGCCTATTGTTCAATTTTAACTTTTTTCAAGTCTGATCACAACACGTATTATCACTACAAGAAAAGTGACCTTAAAAGACAGAACTTTTTGTGACGGCACAACTTGCCGTTGCAAAAAATGTGACTTTTTGAGACAGCACAACTTGTTGTCGCAAAAAATGTGACTTTTTGAGACGGCACAATTTGTCGTCGCCAAAAAATGTGACTTTTTGAGACGACACAACTTGCCGTCGCAAAAAATAGAGGATTTGCGATGGCATAAAATGCTATCGCGAAAAATGAGAGTATTTACGACGGCAGAAATTGTTGTCGCAAAAAAAAAAAGAGTATTTGCGACGGCAGAGATTGCTGTCGCAAAAAAATAGAGTTTTTGCGACTGTACCAGTTGTAGTCGCAAAAAAAAAAAAAGAAGAGTTTTTTGCATCTGTAATAGGTACCGTTGCAAAAAAAAAGAAGCAAATATATATATATATATACATATTGTGGCTTTGAGATGGCTTCAGCTTCATGTATATATAGTCACAAAATGGTTAAATAAATGCAACGGTATTTTTCTGTCACAAAAAAATAAATAAATAAACGACGTCGTCTTACTCTTTTGAACATTTCTTTTTTCACTCATTTTTTCATCTTCCTATATCTCTGTCTCTATCTCTCTTCTCTTTCTCTCTCTCACTCATCACTCTTCCCTGTCTGTCAATCTCTCTCTTTCTCTATGTGTCTCTGTCTCTGTCTCTCTTCTCTCTCTCTCTCTCTCACACACTCATCACTCTTCTCTGTCTGTCTATGTCTCTCTCTCTTTCTCTCTATGTCTCTATCTCTGTCTTTCTTCTCTTTCTTTCTCTCACTCATCACTCTCTCTGTCTGTCTATCTGTTTGTCTCTCTCTCTCTCTCTCTGTGTCTCTCGCCCATCTCTCTTTTCTCTATCTCTCTCATCTCTCTTCTCTTCCTGTCTCTCTTCTCTCTCTCTTTTCTCTTTATCTCTCTCGCTCTCTCACTCATCTCTCTATGTCTCTCTCTTATTTATCTCTTTTCGCTCTTTTTCTCTTTTTCTCTCTCTTTGTCTATATCTTTTCACCCATTTTTTTATCTTCCTCTCTCTCTTCTCTTTCTCTCTCTTTCACTCGTCACTCTTCTCTCTCTCTCTCTATCTGTCTATCTGTCTCTCTCTCTCTCTTTGTGTGTCTCTTACTCATTTATATCTTCTTTCATCTCTGTTCTCTCTCTGTCTCTTTCGCTTATCTATCTTATCTCTTATCTCTATCTCTCATCTCTCTCTATCTCTCTTGATCATCTCTCTTCTCTCTATCTCTCTCGTTCATCTCTCTTCTCTTTATGTCTCTCTCGCTCATCTCTCTTCTCTCTATTTCTCTCTTTCTGTCTTTGTTCTCTCTCTGTCTCTTTTTTTGTCTCTCACTCTCTATCTCTTTCTCTTTTTGTCTCTCTGTCTCTCTCTCTCTCTCTATCTCTCCTCCACTGTGTTCGCGTTACTCACTCTCTCCCTCATGTCTTCTCTATTTACTGAGCTCCCTCTTCACTTATCATCCACTATAAGAAAATGCACTTTTAGTGACCACTTTGTCTCTCTCTCGCTCATGACTCTGTCTCTCTCTCTCATCTATCTGTCTCTCACTCATCTCTCTCTCTCTCTCTCACCACTCATCTCCTCTACCACCTTCACCACTACTGCAAACACCATTCCACTACCACCACTACTGTCACTGTCGCCACTTCACTTCTACGACTACCATTATTACTACCATCGCCACCACTCCACTACTGCCACTATTACTACCATTACCTCTCATTCACCCATGCCACTCCATCTACTCTACCACTACCACAATTTCACCACCAATCTCCTTCGCCATCACCACAATCATCATCTCTTATCCACCACCTTCACCACTACTGTCGCTCCCTCTCCTCTACCACAAAAAATTAGTTCATAATTTTAGTAACCAAAAAAAATGGGCCGCTGAAAAATATTTTTCATTGACCATAAAAAATTAACTTTTATTTTAGTGAAAAATATTTTTCTTTAAAATATTACCCCTACTTCTACCAAATAAAAAATAATAATAAATTTTTTTTCATTAAAATAAAAATGAAACAAATAAATTTTCAATCTTAGTAACTAAAAAAAAATGAATTTTTTTTAAAAAAATTCATTAACTACAAAAAAAAATTATTTTAACAAAAAATAAAGTTTTTTGGTGAAGGCAACCCCCGTCGCCAAAAAAAAAAGAAAAAAGAAGAGTTAAACGGCGTTGTTTTGTTGTTTAAATTTCATTTGTGACCTAAAAAAAAATATATTTTTTGGTTTTTTATTTATTTATTTCGGTTCTGTTTCCCCCTCTCCCAAACAAAAAATCCCCAATCTCAAACCCCCCCGGCCCAAAACCAAAAATCCCTAATCTTTTCTTACCCCTCTCTTACTCTCTCTCTCTCTCTCTCTTGATCGACGGCGAGCGGCGGCAGACGACTACGAACAGCAAACGAGGCTGTTGTGTGAATGGAAAGGGCTTCAGAGTGCAAGAATAGCAACAACGTCGGAGGAGGAGGAGGAGGAGGAGAAGGGAATGCGGTGATAGGGATGATATGCGGGAGTCTGGTGTACTACCACTGCACATACAAGAATTCAAGTATACTCACCCTCCTCTCTGACATCTTTCTTGTCCTCCTCTCCTCCCTCGCCATTATCGGCCTCCTCTTCCGCCACCTCAACATCTCGTATGTGATACCCCTGTTCCGTAATGTGTTAATTAGTCTTTAAAATGAGTATGATTATGTGTTTAGCATAATTTTGTGTGCCATTATGTGAAAATATGTGGTCTTGAATTTCTATATGTTCGCCGTAGGAATATCTATTTGATTATCTGCTTTGAAAATTAAATTGGAGGCCTTATCGGCCACAGAATCCGAAATTGATTACGCCATTGCGATTGGCATAATTTTAGAACCTACGGTGAAATTTAATTGAAAATTTACTCGAGTCAGATTAAATCGATTAAATTGATGAATTGGTGCCCATTACTTTATTATTATTATATTGGAATTGGTGGGGGCCTTATGTATAGGGTTATACACTCTCTCATTGTTTCTTTTTGAGTCCAAAAATCTGAGTTATACATTGTGAGAGTGAGGAGGCCGACCCTAGAGAGAGGAAGAAGAATTGTACAATTTTGGTCTTGAAGTTTGTTAATTTTGAAGCCACACTCAAGAATTTGCTATTGATTGAAAGGATAGAGCCTCTAGGTAGGTAATTGATCTTGAATTCATAAGTTTGGACTTGTGATTTTGTGTATTCAAGCTAATTGGGTAATCAAGAATGAGAAAAAAAGAATGTGTTGAGTTGGTGATGTTGAATTTGAAGTCAAATGATGCATGCATGTGTTCAATTGTCATGAAATTGTATAGTTATGTATGAAAAATATGAGTCATGTGGAACTTTGGTTAGAACTCATGCTTGTGGTCATCATTTGCATCATCTAGATGAAGAATGGAAGTTATATCCCACATACATGTACAAATCACAAGAGTATGAACTTGAATGCATGAAATTGTTATGTTGGAAGTAAGCTTGGTGTAAATTTGAGATATGCATGTAGATAATTTATGAAATTGAGCTTCAATATGTGGTAATTTGATGCTTGTACCATGTTAGTACATGTCTAGGAGTAATTTGAGCCATAACATGCATGAATTGTTGGTTGAAAGTCGAAATGAAGCTCAAGAACACAGTTCTGGCTTTTCCAGAATTTTGAGGTCCGCTCGAGCGGGGAACCTGACGCTCGAGCGGGAAATGCGTGCTCCCAGTACTTTTTGCAGACTTGATGTCTGCTCGAGTGGGATAATTAACGCTCGAGCGCGGGAGCTATTTTGACAGGCCTTCCGCTCGAGCGTCCTATTTCACGCTCGAGTGTATTTTTGATGTAACCAGCACTTTTGCAGGCCTATA